GGGGTCCACTTGTGTGGGGAAAAGGCAGGGCTGGGATGTTGGTCAGCACTAGAGGGAGATTGGGACAAAGGACTTTGTTTGGGCTGCTTTCTCTGCATATCTCTGGGCCTAACTTCCACCACGAGGCTTCCTCAGATGCCTTTGCAGTGCGGTATACCTGCTAAACTACAGAAAGGACTCCTCTTTCAGAAAGTCTTCCAAGACAACCTTTCCCTGTTGCCTCCCAGTCTTGCCTCTGGCCACCATCCTCCAGTGTGCTGGCATCTAGCTCCATTCACGATGCATCCCGGGGCATCCCAAGCACCTTCTTGTTGTCGAATCTGCCTGCTTTTTGTTCCCAGAAGATCTAGGCCAAGTAGTCTGACTGTCAAAGAGATAGTGCCTGAGTTTTCAGCTTATCATCAAAATGGGAGGTGCAAGCCAACAGTTGATGCCCTGTTGACGTCCTTTTTGTTCTGAACAAAGTGCTAGACATTGCTGCCCATTGTAAATGAGTTTCTTTTGTTCCTTCTGCCCTTTGTCCCCTTCCCAGAGAAGGTGTTTAAAAGGTACCACTTCCACAGTTTTCTCTGATCTTTCCTCCCTTGAAGCACCCTCCTGTCACTCTGGCAGGAGACCTCTCTTTCATTTTCCCTTAAATAAATCTTTCTTTGCACATTGAAAAAAAGAAAGATTAAAAATAGACAAAATCATTCTTGATGGGCTGGGCAGGATAAGCAACCCATATGAGAGCCTATTCAGATCCCTGGTGCTCCATTTCTGATCCAGCTCTCTGCTAATGTGTCTGGGAAGCAGTACATCTTTGAGCCCCTGTCACTCATGTGGGAGACCCAGGCTTCCGATTGTGACCCGGCCCAGCCCTGGCTTTTGTGGCCATTTCGGGAGTGAAGCACCAGATGGAAGAGCTCTGCCTCTCCTTTCTCTCTGTTTTCTTTCTAATAATAATAATAACACTAGTAATAATAATAATAATAATAATAATAAACCAACTTCAAAAATGAATAAAAATAATCTTGAGGTTCCTGGAAGAATTGCTGTGGCAAAACTGGTCCTCTCGCCTGGTTTTGCTATGAATGTTAGAAGACAGAGGAGAAATTGAGTACCCAGTGCCCAGAGGTGTGGTTGGAGATGAGGCTGGAATCCCTAAGTGTGTGTGTAGGTTTTTGTGCCTCTCTTCTGGAGACACAAAAGCAAAGTCTAGTTTGGGGTTGGCTTTTTACAAGCATCTCAGGAGATTCTGACTTGCAACACAGTTGGGAACTTTCTTGTGTTCTGGAATATTCCCATGATCTCAAAGCCCCTTCCTGTGTTCCCATTGTGTCCACACTAACCCTACTGCCTGGGAGCCTGGCTATGATGTTTGATCTTTGATTCCCGAGGTCACTGGTTCCCACAGTACAGGGATTTTAAGAAATTCCTAGGCTTTTTAAAAATTTTGTTTTGTTAAAATGTAGATTTCTACCAAGTCTCTAGATAAGAAACTCTGGCTCTCTGTTACATAATGGGGTGATACTAAATGATGATGAATTGTCTGCTTCTCTTTAAAACAAACAAACAAAAAAAAAAAATCAAGAGATTGGAAGAAAGAATGTTGCATGCTTTCAACATAAAAAAGTGTTCATTGTTTGAGAGAATATGTATCTTTCCCTTGAAAATAACATTATACAATACATGAAAACGTTATATGAAAACATTATATGGCACCCTATACATCTGTATGATGTTAATGGGCCAACTAAAAATGTCAGAAGTATAGATTCTCGAGTCCCATATTTGGCAGTTTTTACTTAGTAAGTCTAGAACAAGAGACAAAAAATGCCCACCCAATTCAGTCTCTTGTCTGGCTCCTGGTCAACCACACACGTCTGGCAGAGCCAAAGCTTCCAACTTGAAGGCTGAAATGACTTTGTCCAGCATGGGTTGCCAACGCCCCAACGGCTGTTTGAACTGCAGCAGGTCCAAGGTGGGATTGGGAAAGTGTGTTTGTGGGAAGGAGATGCTCCCGCACCCCCGGAGAACACTTCACAACCTAGTACCAAATACTGAGTCCCGGCAGGTGCTCAGCTTTCCCTGTGGGGTTCAGCCTGCTCGGAACCCACTTCCCTTGGCCTTTTTCAGGGGCATTTCTTGCTTCTTGGTTTTTCTGGCTCATTTCACTCTGTGTGCTATGGTTTTTGCCCTTATTCTTTCCAACTGAGAGCAGCTGTTCTATCTGCAGTCAAGTTGGCTAGCTTGCTTGGTGCAAGGGGACTGACAAAGAGAGGGATCAGAAGAAATGAGGGGAGCTGTTTGCTATCTTCCCCATTCACACTCCCACACCCTTGCCCCTTTTTGGGAATGCCTCCCCTTATAGACCTTCTGATTTCCAGAATGGAGTATCAAAGGGTTTGTGTGTGTGTGTGTATGTGATGAAGGCTCACCAAATATCCTTGCCGGGCGAAATGTTGGCATTGAAGGCATCACAGCCATTAGCCTGGCCGGCACGACACCCGAGACCCTTCTGGATTTGCTGGCCCTTGTGGCCCTGTGGTTGCTTAGTAGGCTGCATTGAGCTCAGCAGTTGGGAACCTTTGGACGGATCTGCAGGGAGAGGCTGGGACATGTCCTCAGAAATCTTTATTTACAGACTCAGTATTATACAGATACAAAGTAGTGAAATTAAGATAAGGACTCTGGGAGTCAGCTTCCTGAGGCCTCCACATCTGTTATGAGTGCTGGTTCGTGTCCTGGCTGATCCACTTCCCATCCAGCTCCTTGCTTGTGGCCTGGGAAAGCAGTCGAGGACAGCTCAAAGGCTGCACCTGCATGGGAAACCCGAAAGAAGCTCCTGGCTCCTGGCTTTGAATCAGCTTAGCTCTAGCCACTATAGCCACTTGGGGAGTGAACCAGTGTATGGAAGCTCTCTCTCTCTTTCTCTCCCCCTCTTTTTCTCTTTGTAAATCTGCCTTTCAAATAAAATAATAATAATAAATAAGAGAAGAAATTCTTAAGGACTTTGGAGCCACAAGATCTGGCTTCAAATTAAGTTCCATCATTTAATAGCCATGCGATTGTAGGAGCCATAAAGTAAGTTCTTTCCCATCTTACATGTAATTTGATCTTCACTGAATTTTGTAGCTCATTCCCCTGGGAGTCTGGTAAAGGAAGTCTTTTGACTACATTTGGGAAGCCTTGGGAATGCTAAAAATGGCTGATTGGGATTAAGAGTAGACACAGAGTCCCATTCATTTCTGTGGGAAGCCATTCTTTGGGCTTTCCTGAAAACAGTAACACTTTTCACTTACCCATCCCTAACGGCAACACCAGATTCTTGCGTGGGTCCTGAGTGAGAGTGACTTTGCTGAGGAGTTAAGCCAAGGAGGTTGCCATGGATATCCTCCCTCACACCTTGAGGCTTGAAGAGGACAGCTTGTGAACACCCTGCGGCCAGGGCTTCGTTGGGCTGGCTCCACTGAAGAGCAGTTCTGGAGGCTGCGCTGCTCACAAGCACTGGGTCCTCCCCGAGATGCTCATAAGTGCATCCATTGTCAAGTGTGCTGACCACAGCCTTCGTGTCTACCTCAAGCTGAGAAGACTCCTGGAGGACCTGGATTTGTTTTCTTAACTCTGGGTACCTTTTCTTCACCTCTGAGGTGAAGATGATCGAAGTCCCTGCCTTCTCAGGTGGTTTTAAAGACCAGAAGGGACTTAGAGCAACGTCCAGTGTGTGGTGTGTGCACACGAGCTGCTCCACTCTCTGCGTTTTCCTTGAAGTGAGGGAGGCCGGGACGCCCTTTCCCTTCGGGGTCAGTTCTAGTCTCAGCTACTAACTCACTGTATAGGTTTGGACAAATGATCTCTTTCTCCAGGAATACAACTATTAGTTCTTCTTCTTCTTTTACTTTTTTTTAAAGCTTTATTATTATTATTTTTTATTGGAATGTCAGATATACAAAGAGGAGGAGAGACAGAGGGGAAGATTTTCTGTCTGTTGATTCACTCCCCAGTTGGCTGCAGTGGCTGGTGCTGTGCCGATCCAAAGCCAGGAGCTCGGAACCGCTTCCAGATCTCTCACATGGGTGCAGAGTCCCAAGGCTTTGGGCCTCAACTGCTTTTCCAGGCCACAAACAGGGAGCTGAATGGGAAGCGGGGCTGCTGGGATTAGAACAGGTGCCCATATGAGATCTTGGACGTGCAAGGTAAGAACTTTAGCTGCTAGGCTACTATGCTGGGCCCTTTTTACATTTTTGAAAAAATATTTATTTTACTTTTATTTGAAAGGCAGTTACAGAGAAAATTGTGGCAGAGAGAGTGATCTTCATTTGCTGGTTCCTTCCCCTAATTGCTGCATTGGTTGGGGCTAAGCTGATCAGAAGCTAGGAGCCAGGAGCTTCTTTCTGCTCTCCTATGTGGATGCAGGAACCCAAAGACCAGAGCTATCCTCTGCTGCTTTCCCATGCTATAATCAGAGAGCTGGATTGGAAGTGGAGTACCTGGTACTTGAACTAGTGCCTATATGGGAGGTTTAACCTACTATACCACGATGCTAGCTGCAACAAGTTCTTAGCATGCTTCCTGTGTTTGTTGAAGGAACTGATGAAGTCACAGAGTTTACTAAATGCTATTGAAGACATCTAGTTACACGCAATAGATTTTGTTTGAAATCTGTTGAGTGACTAAATCAGAGAAGGATCTGCCTGCCGAGGGAGTAGCCTCAGGGGTCACTTCTGGGCTCTGGAGAAATCTGGAGATGGGACAGGATTATCAGAAGGAAAAGGAGAATATCTTCTAAACCTGCTGACCCTGTACGGTACCTCTAGCCAAACCCTAAGGCAGGTGCATAGCTGATCCTGATCTGGGCGTCACCTGAGTACCTTCCAGATCCTGTGTGTCCAGAGCAGGTTAAAAACAGAGACCCCAGGCAATATTGTGTGGCTAACCTCCGCAGCCGCTGGGGAAGGTTAGGAGGGACCCCAGGAGATGGCCCAGGCTAACATTGTCTTTCTCCCTGCCTCCCTCAGGTCTGAATGCTGGTGCTTTCTATGCCTTGTCCACACTGTTGAATCGTATGGTGATTATACACTACCCGGTAAGGGAGCTCTCTGTGCTTTGCTGCAATGTGATTTGTAACCCTGTCTCAGCAGGAGCTGGAGCCTTAGCTCTTGGTTCCCTCTAGCTCTGGGCAGCATGGTGTGGTGGTGTGCTTGTAGGATTTGGAGGCAGGTGATGCGGGGCTCAGCTAAGCAGCAGGATGGGGTGGCTGTGTGACAAGCTGTGTGACCAACACCCCTTACTGGAGTGCGGCCCCAAACAGCACATTCACAGGATTTTTATAGAGGCAGCCCACAATAGCCTGCAAGGTGAGTGGGGAGATAGCACACATTCTCTACTTATCTCTGTTGGACAGCCCAGGTCTGGCTCGTCTCAGGTCCAGCAATTAAGGTAACCACCCACTTATTACTTGGAGCCACATGTAAGATAACCGGATTTGGCCCTTGATTCATGACATCAGTCCTAAAGGTCACATAGGCCGTTTGGCCTGCAAGCTCACGGTTTCTTAGTAACAATGAGCCATGAACAATGGTTGGGACTTTGATTCTGAGGTTCCTCAGGGTAACTCTTAAACCTAAAAATGGACTAACTGGGCATAGATATTTCAGTTTTCCCCACTGATCAGGTAGGAATAATGATGAGTAAGACAGCAGTTTAAGGATGACATGGTTGAAACTCCACCTACACTGGTCACTGCAGAATCCAGGATCACATGCTCATATGTATGACTACATGACTGGGAGAACTCCTACTTGGAGATTTTCTGCCCCCTGGTGGCTCCATCCAGGCTGTCCTGAATGGACACTTCCTAAAGATTGGTGCCAAGGGAGCCTACCTTCTCTGCCTTGGCCCCTTTGGCCAGTGGTGACTGTGCTGGGTCCCAGGTCTCATGCCCTCATTCGGTGATCTTTGTGGCTGTGCATCCCAGGGGGAAGAGGTGAATGCTGGAAGGATCGGCCTGACCATCGTCATCGCAGGAATGCTCGGGGCTATGATCTCAGGCATCTGGCTGGATCGGTCCAAAACCTACAAGTAAGTGGTTCTTTCTGTGGGCCCGGAAACCAGGGAGTCACGTGTTGAAATGACACCTTCCTTAGCAAGGTGAACATGGTGGGCAGAGTTGTCTCTGTTGAGCCCAGTTGATCACATCATTGATGAAGTGTGGGAACCTCTGCTGGCCCTGTGGGGTTGTAGAGAGACACAGAGAATGGACACAAAGGTGGAGCATGGTCCTTTCCCCGCCTCCTTTTTCAAGCAACTGTGAGAAAAGAGAGATGGGGTGATGTGAGAAAGGTCTTAGCTCCAGAAAGCTTGGAGGAACCTTGGAGGATGGAGGAGAGGAGGAGATTTCATAACTCTTGTGCTCCTTGGGGACTCCATGGGGTTAATGAAGGTGCTGTGTGCTTGCTGCAGTTCACAGAGTGTGTGGATACTTTAGGGAGATTGTAGAAAATGGAACCAAAAGATTTTGGTGAAGAAAAAAAATGGAACCTGATGCATATTTTTGATAATATTCAGTTTTCACAAAGTTCTATCTGATTTATGTGAAAGGCAGAATGACAGAAAGAGAGGAGAGACAGAGACAGAAAAATCTTCTGTTATCTGTTGATCTCCCCAAATGCCCACAACTCCATCTGTGTGTCTTCCATGGATGTCAGGAACTCAAGCAGTTAGGCCATCATCTGCTGCTTCCTAGACGCATTAGCAGGGAGCTGAATGATAAGTGGAGTAACAACCACTCTAATAGGCACTCCCACGTGAGACACCAGTGTTGCAAGTGGACGCTTGACCTGTTGCACTACAATGCCCATCTCTGATCAATTGTTTTGAAGGGCTCTTTGGTATCCCTGGATATCAGAAGTTTGGCACCCAAACAAATTTCTCTTTTAACTCCCTTTTCATGAAATAGTTCCTGGTCTTATTTCATTGGTAGGATTTGTGATAGGCGTCTGACCTGAATACCAATGCATTTCTGAGAGCCCAGAGCCATCTTAGCAGAGATAAGTGCTTGATGTAGTAAGTGCTGGGTGTAGTGCTTAGGACTGCATTCCTATACCAGAGTGCTGGGTTTGGTCCTGGGCCAGGTTTCTGATTCCTGCTTTCTGCTGCTGAGTCTCCTGGAAAGCAAAACGCACAGCTTAAGTGCTGAAGTTCTTACTGCCCAACTTGAGTTCCTGGCTCAGGATTTTGGCCTGGACCAAGTAGCTGTTGTAGGCATTTGGGGAGTGAGTTAGTGGGTGGGAGATCTCTGTCTCACTGTTCCCTCTCAAAAAAAAAAAGGAAAAAAAAAGATAATGAAGGAAAAAAGAAAAAAAGTGCTTTCGGGAAAAAAAAAAAAAAGCTTTTAGTGTAAATCAGCTAATCCAGGATGCTGATTAAAAACCTGGACTCCTGTGCTCACTTCGGCAGCACATATACTAAAAAACCCAGACTCCTGGGCCTACTGCATAATTCTCTAGCAAAATCTGCCTGTGTAAGAAGTGAGCTTTTTGGCTACGTAGCACCTATGTCATTGTGGCCATGCTGGAACCCCATACAGGAGGATCTGGCTCTCCACTTCCAATCCTGTCCTGTGCTAATGGCCTGGGGAAAGTAGTGCAAGGTGATCTTGGTGCTTTGAAGGCGAGGACTTTAGCCACTGGGCTACCACATTGGTCCTGGTAACTTTTTTTTTCTTTTTTCTTTTTTTATAAACAGCCATAGGCAGCCTTGGTGGCAGTACCCTGGGGACAGCTGGAGCTGTCCAGTGTATTGGGTGCTCAGTGCGTGCTGGCCCTGGGGGCAGCTGCCAGGGTTGTCCCGCGCCTGGGGCAAGGCTGCCTTCTGGGCTGCTTTGTCCAGCCTGCAAGGTTCCCAGTGTCTGTAGGCGACACAGTGGCAGACCTGTTCTGTGTTGCACAAACACGCTTCTGTGAGGCTGTGCTCAGCCAGGTCTCGCCGTGGCCACTCTCGTCAAAGGTCGATTGAGGCCATGCCTAGGGACGTGGCTGCCTGGCTCACATGCCAGGAGCCTGGCTCGGCTTCATGACCGCTGGCAGAGCTGGCTGCCATCTCTGCTGTAAGCTGCATGCTTCAGGGCTGACACAAGGGCTATCAAGACTGCCCACCCCAGTGCAGCAAATGGCAGCATCTCTGCCAGTGCTGGCTTTATGGCAGGAGAGGGGAGGGGAGGGATTGGAATGCAGGCTAGACTGGACCGTGGGCAGCTAGCTGATTCCTTAGAAAACATCGTGGAAGGAATGGGAGCACGCTTCCACCGGTCCCTGGTGTCACTTAACGTCTAGCTCCAGTGGTTGGCCCGGGACAGTCCTCTCTCTGTTCTCCTGCCCAGGCTGTGAAAGGACAGCCCTCAGTGGGCTGACGGCACTGTGTGACTCTGTCATTTCCACGCCCATTCTCCTGAAGGTACCCTGGCTTGTCCAGCTCTGGAGGCTGGAAAGTGGGTGGAGAGACTCATTTATTTCTGACTAGAACAATAGTAGTTCTTCTCAACTGGTCAGTGGTTTAAGAAGAAGCTGTAGCTAAAATAAATATGGCTCTCAAGTACACTCAGTGTTCTTATGAGACCTTACGAGACCACTTGAGAAAAGCTGGCATGTGCTAAGGTTGCTTTCTGTAAGGTGGGTGGGAGGGAAGTGGGAGGAGCAGGTGAAGCGAGGGTGGGGAGAGCTTCCCCAACCTGGGCAGTTGCTTTATAGCAGCAGCTTAGAAGTGTGTTCTGCAGAAGCTGTAGGCCCGAGTTTTTCTCTATAGGTAACTGCATTCTACATCATTCCCATGTAGAGAAGTAGCAGAAGCACAGGTTTCAGTTTCAGCCCTGGGTTCGAATCCTGGCTCTGCACTTATTTAGAGTTTTTGGATAAGGAACTTAACTGACCTCCTGGGTTTCAGTTTCTTCACTGTGCAAAATAGGGAAAGCCATCTCTTTCTTGCTAGGTTTTTATAAGGGTTGAGTTGAAACATTACACGAATGTAAAGCATTTCGTGGAATCTGGCACCCAGCCATGTGGGTATTAGCTTGATGTCAGCATAGTGTGGCCTGTGGGAGCCTCACTGTGTTTTTGGCTGTAGGGAAGATGTGTGAAGGTTCTTAGCCTGGCATGCTGAAGTTGGTGCAGTGCCTGGGCCCTGCTCTCAGTGGTGCAGATGGAAGCACCAATTAAAAAAAAAGTACTGAGTGTACTTTAGTTTTGAGGGCAGGAGTCAAGGTCACAGTGGGCACGTTAGGGAGGAGAATGTGTGGAGGTTCACGGTGGGCTGAGCAGCAGACAGAACCTGGGGCTGGCTGGCAGTGCTTTCGAGGGGACCGACATAAGGAATGGAAACAGAGGGTGTGGATTTCTCATGTTGGCTTTGCAGCCAGGCCCTTAGTTCAAGGCTAGTTCTTTAGCCTTTTTATAAACAGGTTTTTATAAAAGGAATATTTATGCAGCCAGCACATTGGCTCAACTGGCTAATTCTGAACCTCCAAGCACAACATTCCATATGGGCACCAGTTCTAATCCCGGCTGCTCTGCCTTGCATCCAATTCCCTGCTTGTAGCCTGGGAAAGCGGCAGATGATGGCCCCAAAACCTTGGGATCCTGCACCCACATGGGAGACCCGGAAGAAGCTCCTGGCTCTTGGCTTCGGATCAGCTCAGCTCTGGCCAATCTTGGGAATGAACCAGTGGGTGAAAAATCTTTCTCTCTGTCTCTCCTTAAATTTGTCTTTCCAATATCAAATAAAACATTAAAAATAAAAACAATAATATTTATTTGAGTGGTTAAGAGAGAGGGACAGACAAATTTCCCATCCAGTGTCCACTCCCAAACTGGCTGCAATAGCCAAGACTGAGCAAAGCTTAAGGCAGGAGCCAGCAACTCCACCTGGTTCCAAGTTTACTTGAGCCATCATCCATTGCCTTCCTAGGAGCATTAGCAGGAAACTGGGCCAGAAGTGGAGCTACTGGGACTCAAGCTGGTATTTTGAGGTGCTGTTATTTCAAGCAGCAGTGTCATCTACTGCACCACAATACCAGCTCCCTCTCCTCGTTCTAGCATCTGGACAGAGTTGTTTAGGAATAAACTGTGCAGGAATAGTTGCACCTGTGCAGAAAGCAACAGTAAGAACTCACAGATCACAGTATCTGAACATTAGGTCACTGCCCAGCATTGCTAATGGGTCTTGGGACAAAGCAAACAAGCACAATTGGGTCACTTCTGGGACAGTCTCGGATATCACTGCCACCTGAGTGTGTGGCCCATGATTGTCCTCTTTTTTATTCTCCATTTTTTAAAAAAAGACTTATTTTATTTTTACCGGAAAGTCAGATATGCAGAGAGGAGGAGAGACAGAGTGGATGATCTTCTGTCTGATGATTCACTCCCCAAGTGACTGCAATCGCTGGAGCTGATCCGATCCGTAGCCAGAAGCCCGGAGCCTCCTCCTGGTCTCTCCACACAGGCGCAGGGTTCCAGGGTATTAGGCCATCCTCCACTGCTTTCCCAGGCCACAAGCAGAGAGCTGGATGGGAAGTGAGGCTGCCGTGATTAGAACCCATGCCCATATTGGATCCCGGTGCATGCAAAGCAAGGGTTTTAGTTGCTAGGCTACTGCTCTGGGCCCTCTCCTCTTTTCTTCTCATTGGCAGGGAAGAGAAGGAAAGGGCTGTGCCCTTGTTACCTATGGAAAGGACATGACAAGGATTTGATGCTGTGGAGCAGGTTCTCCAGGGAGAGAACAGGGCTTCACACCTAGGGTCACCTTTTGTAGCACTGCTCATAACATCCTTGAAAACCCACGTGTGATCATCAGTCCAGTGTCTGTCACCCTCATGGGCAGTGAAGTCTGTGACAGCAGGTATCCCAGCCTCACAGAGAGCTTAACTGACGGTGGGTACCAATACGTATTTATGGAATGAATGATTGATCCTGCTCAGGTCAGAAGTGTTAAATTCTCTGCCTCTACCCATAGGGAGACAACCCTGGTAGTATATGTTATGACACTGGTGGGCATGGTGGTGTATACGCTGACCTTGAACCTGGGACGCCTGTGGGTCGTGTTCATCACTGCTGGCACCCTGGGGTGAGTTTCTCTTCTGACATGTTTAAGTGAAAAATGCCATCTCACAGCTCTTGGGGCTGCCGGTTTTCCAGGCTGTAGCGGGGAGCCCTTTTCCACTCTTCTCATGGACTTCAGGAGATGTAGCAATGGCTCCCAGGGACTCGTGAGTCTTCCCAGCGCTTCCCACAGAAGGCAGCCTGGCTGTGCTGTCGGGACGGAGTGGAGCTTGGAGTGTGCCCTTCCAGGGGATAGGAAACCCTCAGTCTCTTTTAGTCCTGCCTGAGACAAGGTGGTAACTAAAAAAAAAAAAAAATGCTCAGAGCTTAGAATCAGAAACTCTGGGTTCAGGTCTCAGTTTCAGTGCTGACTATCTGTTAGACCTGAAGTGCTCACTGATTGTTGCTGAACCTGTGTGTGTGTGTGTGTGTGTGTGTGTGTGTGTGTGTGTGTATGAAAGAGAGGAGAGAAAGAAAGAATGACCTTGACCTGCGCTTCTCAGCTGGCTACTCTCTGGAGGGAGATAGGACTTGAAGTTCTTCCTGCCAGCCAGCTCCCAGAGAGCCATGGAGAGGGTGTTCAGTACCAGGGGTGTTCCATTCCTGGCCCAGGGCCCCTGGACTCAGGGCAGAGTCAGCCAGTGCAGAGTAAAACAGAATAGGCATCCTTGCATCCTTGCTCCTTCTGTAGATGCTGACACTGTCCTTGATGGTTGGATGCAGACACAAGAGACCCTAATGGCTGCCTGAGCACAAGACCCACAGGGGAGCCTCTTCCGGGTCTGCAGGAATCTCTCTTCCCTTGGCTCACCTGGGGCATAACCAGATTGGAGTGTCTAGGGGCTGATGGAAAGACAAAAACAAAACAAAACAAGCCCAAAGAAGAGTTGTATGGCAGGGGGTGGGGTCCCCCTCCTTGTTGGCTCAGGAACACATTTGTCACCTTGTGTGTCTGCTCTGAACCCTAGCTTCTTCATGACGGGCTATCTGCCTCTGGGATTTGAGTTTGCTGTGGAGCTCACGTACCCAGAGTCGGAAGGCATGTCGTCTGGCCTCCTCAACGTGTCAGCTCAGGTACTGCCCTCACGGTGCCTTGCTCGCTGCCTGGTTGGGTTGCCTTTGCATGATGGTGCTCCGTCCTCCGTGGTTTGGCTGCCAGGACCCTTGTTTCCAGTCTTCCTTTGGCCTTCTCCAGGTGTTTGGGATCATCTTCACTATCTCCCAAGGCCAGATTATTGACAACTTTGGAACCATGCCTGGAAACATCTTCCTTTGTGTATTTCTTACCCTTGGTGCTGTCATCACTGGTGAGTTGGGGCTTAAGCATATGATGAGGCACAGACTTCACGGGCGAGGCTGTTGGTCATTTGGGACCGTGTGTGTAGATTCATCAGACAGATGGGAAGTCCACACATAGGAGAACGTTTGGGAGGGTGTGTGAGGCCATCTCTTTGGGAAGTGGTGATGTGTTTTGAGAAAAGGGGCGTGAGTTTTAGATGCAGGAGACCTGTGGTTGAATCCCAGCCTGTGACACTGACCTTCTGTGGCCATTGACCTTGCACAAGTGGATCAACCTCTGGGAACCTCTGTTTCCTAATCTGTCCCATGAGAATTGCTGTGATGATCAGAGTCCCATTCACATATTCCCTGATAACCACAGGTGACCCATCTGTGAGGGCCAGTGTCATTACAGACCTCTGCTTCCCGGGCACATCAGTGATTCCTGGTCTTATTTGAGTTAGTTGATAGTGCCCTAGCTGCCTTTGAAATGTGAAGCTGGTTAGGGATATCTGTGATCTATAGGCAAATGAAAGCTGCCTCTCTTGGATGAAACTGACCATTGATGTGCTTGATGACTTATGCTTTTGCCACTCTTCTTTCTGCATCACAGCATTCATAAGAGCGGATCTCCGGAGGCAGAAGGCCAACAAGGAAACCCCCGAGACAGTGAGTATACTGGAACTTTGGCAGGGTTGAATTCCGGGTTCTGGGCCTTTGTTGAGCATTGTGACAGCAGAGATGGGGCCAGGAAAGGCTCCCAGAGGGGCTGGTTTCGTGGAAGCTCTGAGACCACTCACTTCTTAAAAATACAGCGTCCATGAAGAGGCTTTCCTCGGGGTCCCTGCACTGCTTCTCTGCTACACTTGCTCAAGCTCTTCCCCTGTTTCCTGTCCTCCTCAGGACTCCTCTGCTGTGGTTGCAGAGCATGTGACTGCTGTCATAATCTGCTAGGCCATGTCTGCCCCTTGAGTCTGAAGCCAAGCTGTGTGGCTCTGGTGCCACTGCTGTCAGCCTGGGGCCAGTGGCTGTGGAGGGAAGAGAGGAGGAAATCACGGCAGTGGTAGCCATAAGACAGTGACTGTCCTAGCACTTGACAACTCCTTAGGTGGGGCCTCAGGGTGGAACCAGCAGATTGCTAGTAGGACTCACAAAGCAGGAACTGGTGGTGGTAAAAGAGGAACAGGCCAGAAGAATGATCTAGACTAGAAAAGTACTTCTCATCTGTTCTGATGAGTAAAGAACCACTTGAACAAAAATAATAGACATCCATCTGAGCAAGGATGAAAGAAATCTCAAAAAGATAAAGAGTAAATGGGTGTTCCTTTAAAAAAAAAACAAAGGTAGCAAACATGTTATGTAAATAATACATATTCTTTGTAGGAAAACTAAAAAGCAAAACACAGCATACAAAAATTTAAAAATCAACCTGTAATTCCATTATCTAGATGAGATGCTTTTAATTTCTAGCATTTATGTTTTGTAATCTGTATCCAAATGTGTATGTTTTCCTTTTTTCAGGCAAAAATGCAGTCTATTTTGTCTTCTTATTGCGGCTATGTTATTAGTCAACTGTTCACTGACAACACACTTTTAATGGTTCGGGTGTCCTGGTATTTAGACAAACCATAGATAGTCTCATCAGTGGATGTTAGTATGGTTCTGAGTTGTTATAGACAACACTGCATGGTGAACATGTTGGAAGCTGAATCTTAGTGCCTGTTCTTGAGTGTATGGCGTTTCCTTGAGGAAAGACTCAATTCTAAGACTTGCACATGCTACTTGGCACGCACTCCTGCCAAGAGTTTATAGTATCGTGCGAGGTGCCACGATTGAGTGTTTATCATTTTAAAAATCCTGGCTGATCTAATGCTGAAATGGTTTTCTGCAGGTCAGATCTTTGGCATTTCTGTGCTGACAGATGATCACTTACAGTTCCTTACGATTGTGGTCCCGTGCCATAGCAGGCAGCAGCAAGTAGCATGTGGAAGCAGGGGCCTGGAACAAGGGATTGGCTGGGGAGCCAGGGAAAGCCTCCAGGCAGAAATGGCGCTCCCTATAGACCTCTGTGACAACCCAGGCTCACACCTGTGCTGAGTGAGGGACCCGTGCTGATGTGCTACCCTTGGGTCAATGTGTAGATATAGTCAGCCCAGGGAAAGTTATCTGTTGTGCAGCAGGATAGATTTCTGGTGAGAAGGTTTTAATTTGGAATGTGATGTGTCAAGTGACGTGAGATTCTGAAGTGTGCTTACTTTATGATCTGTGTTTATCTTGGCAAATTTGGGCAAACTAGGAGGGAATAGGAATCATCTAGTGTTGCATCCCAAAGATGACCTAATAGCATTTTAGTCCAGTTTCTAGTGTTGTATTAGCTTGTGTATATTTCATTTTCTATACTTCCCTCTACATTGCTTTCTCTACAGTCTCTATAGTAATGCCACCAAAAGTGTTGTAGCTTATTTCACTTAGCATAGCAATCTCCAATTATGTCCATTTTTAAAGAGTCTTGATATTTCAGTCTTTGTATGGCCACTATTCCATTGTGTCTAAATAAATCCCACATTTTCTTTATTTAGTCATCAGTTGACAGCTGCACTGTTGACTAAATATAGCTTGGCCACTTTTTACCCCGTTACATTCTACCACAACCTCTTATCTACATAGTTATATCTTGCTTAACATTTTCTGGTAAGCTTTTATCACACCTGTAGCCAGATGCTTGTGCGCTAGTCAAGGTTGGAGTTGTTGGTCCCTTGCTTGTGAGGAGCTGGAAACAATCAGGGAATAGAAACAAGAACCTTAAGTTGCGCTCAAGGTGATCAGTTGTCCTGTGTCTCTGCACCTCACTGCCATCCGTGGCAGCTTGGGGAGGTCAGAATTCTGCTGAGCCAACACCAGTGGGGACACTGGGCCCTCCTCTGGAAACCATAAAAACACTCAGCCTAACTCAAGAGACCTGCTGGCGAGCCCACTGTCAGGGCCAGGTGAAGATGGGGTGTGCGGTAGACCCGAGCTGCAGAGTTTAGGTAAAAGAACCTCTGGGAGAGGTGACACCTCACCTTGACAGATTCAGGCTTTTGGTTCTCTTCCATTGCATGGAGCATGGCTGTACATGTCCTTATTAACTTCTATTTCTGATTATGATTTCATACTGATAGCTTTGTAAGAAGCGTGTGTGGGCATGTGTGCGTGGTCAGGCAGACACGTGAGACCCTGACATGAACAGGTTTGTTGGTTGCCTAAATGAAGGCTCCTATTGGCTGAGGCTGAACTGCTGCCAAAGATTGGAATGGGAAGGTCAGATTTCTACAGAGATCGCTGTTGGCATGGACTGGCCCTGTGATCCACCCTGCAACATAGTGGGTATAACTGATGCTGACTCAGCCTTGCATGTACTCAGGTTTTGAGTGCTGTCAGCTGTACAGTGCTGGGCCAGTGTCCGAGGTCTGCTTGTTCATTAGAAAAGCCTTAGAGGTAAGAGGCAAGGCAGTTGTTACAATGGTACTTTCTAGACTTACTGTTGGGGGTGCAGATAGAGGAAGGACACCTTGTAATGCTCTTAGTTGCAGTAGGATAACTATGGTTGACAGTCATTAATTATTTCAGAATAGCTGGTGGAGAGGATGTTGAATATTCCCAAAACCAAAAAATGAGAGTTGTCACTTATCCTGACACATTGTGTGCATGTATTAAAATGTCACACTGTAACCCATTCAGGATACTATACAATTACCATGTCAGTCATACAATTACCATGTGACAATCACACAATTACTATGTGTCAATTAAAATGCATATATTAAGAAACCACAAATTGCAGATAAATGTCCCAGTTGGCAGTGTGTACCTACAAGCCCCAAAGGATCAGATCCAGAAGAATCTGTGCCTTCCGTCCCTGAGAAAGTCAAACTTCCCTGAAAAGAATTATACATACACAGAAAGCCAAAGTCCACAAAGTTTGCTGCCTTTCAACCCATCTCTGGTATCCTTCCGTGAACATTTTAACAGTATTCCTTAGCCCAGGGCTGCCCCCACGTGGGGGAAGTTGGAAATGCCAAAGTTTCATAGATCTGGCTGACTTGGGACAGCTGTTGATGGGGGTCAGGATGTATGTCAGCTGTCAGAGCAGAGAGGGAAAGTGGCTTGCCTCTGGGCCCATGGCACCTGGCATCAAACGTTGGCCTTTCCACCTTGGGAGAGGTGGCACTGTTGTGTGTGTGTGTGTTGGGCTGGTTGTGCTTCCGTCTTACTCTTGGGGCAGACTGTGCATTGCGCTAACCAGAGCCGTGGGCAGGCAGCTGCCCCAGAAGGGTTGCAGTCCTGTACCTTTGACCCACAGGGTTGTCTGCCTGTTCTGCCTTGCAGAAGCTGCCGGAGGAGGGGGAGGAGAACATGAGCAAGGTGCCCACTGCTGCATCCGAGGATCATTTCTGAGCGACTCAGGGAGCCAGGGAACAGCCACCTCTTCTTTCAGTCTCCCTGCCAGCACAGAGAAGATTTGGGAGGGAACCACTGGAATATTTGTGGATTGCGTGGCAGTGCCCATGCCTCCTGGACCCAGCTCAAAGGCCCAAATGGTTTACTTGGGGAGGACGGCACCTTCTATGAGCTGCAGATTCTACTCATACCCCACCCCTTTTTAGGTTCTGGGAGCAGGTGCTGGGGGAGGCCGGTGGGGTGGTGGGAAGCTATTGGAGCAGATCCTAGCTCGGTTCCTGGCCTTTCCTTTTTAGCTCCACCTCTCAAGGGGAATGCTTGCAAAATTATCATGGGAAGAAAGCTTATTCAGGATATTCACTTTTCCTACTCTCTGAAGATGTTCACAAGGAGCCTGAGTATAAGCAGAGGCAGGCAAGCTGCTGTGCCCAGGGCCTTTTCTGCATCCTCAGCCTGCCTAATGCTGTGATGTTTCCAATTCCTCTTTCTTCAGAGTTGATCAAACCAAATGTCAACACATTACACAAAAGTGTTGTGTGAGACTACCAAGGAGCAACCCATGTGGGAGGACTAACTTCTGAGTGTGTTTAACAGCTCTGGTGGCTTGCCTTGGGATGAGGTGGCTTTAAAAAAAAAAAAAAGTCTCTGGCCGGGGACCTCTGTGTATTAATCACTGTCACCTCTGATGCTTTCACCTCAAGGCAGCCGCTGGCCCCACGGAGGGTCATCCCAACCACTGCAACTCTCACAAGTCCAAGTTCACTTTTGAGAGCTGCGAAGGAAGTGGTGGTGGATGTGTGACGGTAGGAACTGAGTCTGCTCAACTCACACCTTGCCTATCTCTACTGGGGTTCCACCCTCTGTGAGAAGTCATCTTTATGAGATTCTAAAACAGGTGCAGGGAGCACTTTTTTTTTTTTCCTGTCGAGGGCCAAGTGGACATTTCTAAAATGATCAACTTAAAAGTTAGCCTGCTATAGAGTTGATGAATTTCAAATTCTACCTATGGTTGCCTTGGCAGGGCCAAATGGCTTTGTGGGCTGGACCTTCCTTAGCTCCAAGGACTCTGGAGTTTTCTCAGCCCTGACAGGCTTTCCTCATGTGTTTCCTGCAAATAAGACACTTTGGTGGTTCTCCTGTGCATGGGACAGCTCTGTGCTGTTTTGCTTTGGCCACTCCCCTGGCACCAGCAAATTGGGGTGGGCTATGCTGGCTCAAGTGCTGGGGTGCCTGGGCCCCTGTCCCCAGCAGGGAGTCATGTGTGTGCATGTGTGTGTGATGAAAGCAGTTCCTGCTATTGGTGGAGGGAATGTTTGGGGTAGCAAAGAGAGGTGCCTTACTTTTTAATCAGGAGCAAAGTGTTTACTCTTGAATCTCTGGAACTATATTAACAGAACGTTTACTGAATCTATTGCTTTATTTTTTCTTTAAAAAATATATATAGTTTGTATTTTCTATTTGTACTACCAGATGTTTTAAGGCAATAAAGGATTTTCAAAGTGGGTAGCCTTGTCATTTGCGTTTCCAAGGACTGTTGGGGCGTGGGGAGGGCTGCAGCACGGGTGACAGTGGCTCCCCCCAGGAGCATCTACATCCTCGGTTGACCAGGAGGTTGCCATCATGGAACAGGTTAGGTTTGAAACACAAGCCTGCACAGGTTTCCATCTCTCTACCCACAACGCCATGTCCAACATTGGGTCCTGAGCCCTTCGGCAGCCCATGCACACATCGAATTGACTGCAGAGACCCACTGCTGCTACTGGCTGTGCCCCACAGGGTGACTGGAGTGTGTGCCTGCATGGTTAGTGTGGCCACACGCCAGTGCGCTCAGCTCCATCCCAGTACCAGCAGCTCTGTGCTGTTGTTCTTCCCAGCTGTCCTATTGCTCGCCACTGTCCCCTCGGGAGTTGGGTTCACTGCAGTCTCTTAATGTTCTGTACACTTCTTCCTGGGGGATGTGCCTGGGCCTGTGGCCTTCAGGCACCACACTTATTAGCAATTTTTAGTTAGAGACAATGTTACAATTGTAACACATCTGGGATGCGACTCAAGTGGGTGGCCCTTGGGGTAGTATACGGGGGCAGCTGACCGAGATTTTGCTGTCCCCTATCTATGGCACACAGCGATTTCTTTCATGCCATCTATATCTAATTTCTGCTTCTGTTTTCTCAAAAATCTTTTTGTTAGGGCTGGTGCTTTCATGGTGCAGTGGGTTAAGTTACTGCTTGTGATAGCGGCATCTCATGTGAGTACTGAACTGAGTCCTGGGTTCTCTTCCTTTGATTCAGCTCCCTGCTAATGTACCTGGGAAGGCAGTAGAAGATGGCCCAAGTACTTGGGCCACTGTCACCCATCTGGGAGACCTGGATGGAGTTGCCAGCTCCTGACTTTGGCCTGGTCCGACCTAAGATGCTGTGATCATTTGGGGAGTGAACAGACCTTTCCATCTCTCTACTTCTCAAATACAATGAATACTAATTTTCAAAAAAGGTTTCTTCTTCAACACCTGCACCCCACATGGCATCTGGGTTTGACTCTGGGCTCTGGCTCCTGACATCATCTGCCTGCCTGTGCATACTCTGGGAGGAGGCAGTGTGGTCACCTGGGAGACCTGGATTGAGGCACTGAGCCCTTGGCCCCTGGCTCTGGCCTTGGCTCAGTCCCTAGCCATTGTGGGCATATGCAGAAGTGAACTAATGGATATAAGCTTTCTCTGCCCGCCTCTCAAAAGAACCCACAAAACAACAACAAAATAAAGAGTATGTGGCAATAGTGAGGAGCGTGACAGGGCGGGCACCATGTTTACTGGGCATTAGGGCTGCTCACAGTGGGGTATTCCCTAGACGAAAAGCCATGCTGCTCCGATCCTAGGGCTCCTGTGTTGGGGGGGGGTCACAGCACAAGCACTGACCAGAATGGATGGTTTTTCTATTTATTATAAAAGTTGCTACACAAATATAGCTGACCAGAAGGCCTAAAAACAGCCCTGACTCTTGTAGCTCTTACCTGCTTATCGCTGTAGGAAGAGCCAGGGTCTTGCCCATGCCCAGGGAAGCCCTTCTTAGAAGAACTGCCTGTCCCTTGGGTGGCTTAGAGTCTTGGGTCCAGCAGCAGAGGCCAACCTGAGTGGCCGTCACCTCGGGGCAGCCCTTGGTCACAGCCGCTCTGGGTGGGCAGCAGCTTTAGGTCTCACAGTACACAAGTTCCAAGGAATGAAAATGAAAAGAAGCTGGAAGAGGGAATCCGGCTGGGGCAGCAGCTTGGTGGTTGGGCGTGGGGAGAGAAGGACACGCGGTGAGCTTCAGAAGTGTGGGTCATTTCTTGGTTTTGATGGAGTTGGAGTATTCACTTTAAAATCTTTTTCCAGTTGCGTGTCTGTGTTAGCTGCTTTTCCGTACACATGTTGTATCTGAAAATGTCACAGGTACAAAAAAGCAGAGAAAAGGGGGCAGATAATGGAGCCAAAACGAAGAAATGAGGAGAGTGGAGATGAGGAAGACAGCCAGAGTGGGAGGCGATGGAATCCTGGATGGAATCCACACTCCTGGCTTCAGTTTCTCTTCTTCTGTCTGGAGGCTGGCTCCGCTTCCAGGTACCGCAGACCCACCAGCATCCCCAGGATGGAGAAGCCTGCAACAGAGAAATCAGTGGCTGCTGTGGGCATGGCACCTTTCCCCCTTGTATTGCACATCTACTCTGTGCCAGTCCCGGGTAGGGACAGCTCCTAACTGTGTGTGTGGGGGGGGTAAAACTTACTTGCCACCATCAGGGGGGCCATGACGCCAATCGTGGGGGCTGCAGTTCCATACACGAACAATTCAGACAGGAAGTGCCCCAGGGCGAGGAGGAAGGTCCAGAGAGTGATGTGGTAGAGCCTGTGGGTGGCAGACAGAAAGCAGGGACCAAGTCACTTTGTGCTTGTTACAGCATGGAGGAAGAGCATTGCACAGAGCTGAGGCTCACAGAGAAAGGCCCAGAGCAAGGCGCTGGCTTAGGGAACTGGACACTGCATCCTAAGACCCGGCTACTGGATCACATTGGTTCATCCTCATCTAGGGTCAAGCGAGGGTTGCAGCTGCTCAGCTGAGAGAACAGTCCTGGCACCCACAGTGGATCTTTAAGTCTTAACAAGGGGCAGATTCTGCTCTAGAGAAGCAAGAGTTTGGCTTACAGCAAGCCCTGGCAGAGTTTTAGGATGCTAAGATTCTACCAACCCACACTGCCCGATCTGTGTTCTGTTCCTGTCTGGCTGGCTGCCACTCAGTGGATGTATAACAGATGCCGCAGGATGTGTGCCTTGAATGGGAGAATAAGAAGCAGGGACACAGCTGGGGCTTTCAGATGCTCTTGCAATATGGGCTGGTCAGCTGGTGTCTAGGTCTGGAAAAGTGGGCAGGGAGAGGACTCTGTGACAACCTCATGGGAAAGAGAACTTGCTCCTTGGCTTTAGCTGGGCCTGGGGCAGAGGTTATAGGATGGCAGACCCCTAGGATTTCCATGACATTTAAAAAAGGTAGGAAATACTTCAAGCATTTGGAAAGTTTGAACACCAATAGGCCCAGATCTTCACATTCGGACCCATTGGTCCAGACACTTTTTTCTAGCAAGTAAAACCTGCAGGTTACAGGTCATGGATCCTGTGTATCCTTAACCAACAGAATCCTCTCTCTGCCCTCTCCAGAAATGAAGATTTGTGTAAATCGAGGATGGTTTTACATATTGACTAAGCATGCTTGTATGTCTGTTGTCTTTGAGTTTCAGGTTTGGGAGAGGACAGCATAACAGTGCATATCAGACACTAATGGATTAATGGGCTGGCAAAGGATACCTACATAGGAAACAGAAAAAGTATGAGTCTGAGCTGTTTTCAGTTGCTTTCAAGGCACAGTGAAATGCATCCCCTGCAGGCCAGCGTGATGCTCAATTGGCTAATCCTCTGCCCTTAAGTGCTAATGGCCACTAATTCATGTCTCGGCTGCTCCACTTCCCACCTAGCTCCCTGCTTATGGCCTGGGAAAGCAGTAGAGGACAGCCCAAAGCCTTGGGATTCTGGCACCTGTATGGGGACCCCGGAGGAAATTCCTGGCTTCAGATCAACTCAGCTCTGGCCGTTGCAGCCATTTGGGGAGTGAATCAGTGGATGGAAGATCTTTCTGTTTCTTCTTCTCCTCTCTATAAATCTGCCTTTCCAATCACAATAAGTAATTCTTAAAAAAAGAAAGAAAGAAAGAAAGAAAATGCATGCTCATGCTCCGTACTGCTCAGCACTTCATCATGATTCAGGTCTTCACAATCATTACTGGGGTGGGTGCAGAGTGTGGTCTCTAAGCCGTCACCTGGGATATCGACATTCCATACCGGAGGGCTTGGGTTTGAGTCCTGGCTCTGCTCTCCCTCTTACCTGCCTGACAAGGTGTACCAAAGGCCCCAAGAGGTGATGCCTTAAGCACTTAGGTCCCGGCCACCTACTCGGAGGACCTGGATGAAGCAGTGGGCTCCTGGTTGCCTGTGGCTTGGCCCTGGTTGTTATGGGTTTTGGGGGAGTGAACCACCAGGTGGAAGATGTGGCTCTCTACTATTCTAAATAAATGTGGATTTTAAAAAAATGATTACTTAAATCTTCTTTCCCTCCCAGTCACACTGAGCGGCAGAGCAGACCAAAGTGCCAAGGCCAAAACCTGCTGGTGTCAGTTAAGGGTTGGAACCACGAGCAAAAGCTTCTTTTTTTTTTTTGGTTCTTGGCTCCAGGCTGTTCCTTCTAGGACAAGGAAACTACGGCTAGCAGAAAATATTCTAACTGCAGTTGGAGAAACCAGAGAGCTAGTAGCCCTGTGATTCCAATCCCATTCAGTTTTCTTCAGCTTAAATTAATTGGGTTTCCGACATTTATCTTTTGAAAATATTTTTTTTTTTCTATTAGAAATATTTACTTATTTGAGAGGCAGGGGGAGAGAGCAGGCTAGGAGCCTGTGATCCATTCCAGGCCTCCCTTCTGAACCGCAGGAGCACAGCCTCGAGCCAGCACCACTCCCTGCCGGTGTCTGCTTTAGCAGGAAGCTGGAATCAGGAGCCGGAGCTCAGAGCTGCTGGTGTGGGAGGTGAGCCAGCACACACAGGTGTCCTAACCAGCACCTCACCTGCGAGGCCCCAGGTCAGCTGTAAGGCGCTTCATTATTTAGAGCTGCCCAAACCAGGAACCAGTCACTCCTCCCCGAGCAACCGGGTGGCAATTCATCAGGGCCATGTAGGTAAAAGCTGCTGGTGTAAGAGGTGTTCCATAAGCATTACTGCCTGCCCCTTCGCCAGATGCCACGAGTTCAGAGAAGGCAGAGAAATCTTTTAGGAGGAAAATGACTGAGAGCCTCATCCAGTGATTCAACGCAAACTGCTTCTGCCCAGGCCCTGAAGGAAGCTTGAGCCCCCTCCAGTGGCCAGAAACCAGTTACAGCATTATGCAGACAGGTCACCTGGGACAGCCAAAAGCGGAGGGTTCCACCTGGCTTGAGAACCCTAGAGGGGAGAATTCAGCAGGAGGCCTGGCTCTTTCATTCTTAGCAGCAACTTTGCCTGGACATATGACAATTTACTTGGGAGTTACTCTTTTTATGCATGGTGACTTCTGTTCATTTCTGCAGTTAAAGGAGGAATGTGAGGAAGGCATGTGTGGGCAGCTCCACTAAAAAGAGCCTTAATTCAGTGAACAAGCAGAAGGTGACACTGGCCTGGATAATGCCACTGCCAGTTTGCTGGGTCAGTTCCAAAGATAATCTCTAGACTAAACGAGACTTCCTAGGCCTATCCCGTTTTTCAGGCCTGCAGGAAATGGCACCATTAGCCTCTTATCATTGACCTCCCGGATAGAGGTCTTAAAGTGATGGATGGGTCTTACTTAGCAGCGGGATGCACTACCTCTGCCCAGCACCTGATTTCCCTCGCGAGGGAGCCAGGCTCTTCCTTCCCTTACGTACGTCTTGTTGTGGATGTCGATGGCACAGAGGCAGCGGATCACCGAGGACAGCAGTGTCCAGATCCCGAAGGTCCGGGCTTGCAGGCCGTTCACTGCACAGCACAAGACAGCAAGAATGTCAACAAGGGGCAGGGCAGGGGTCCTGCCAGATTCTAACCTCTGCCCCCTTTTACCCAAGCCCTCTGTAGCAGGCAGGGGGCTGAATCTGACTTCCCTGTGGTGGGGTAGAGGGCAGGTGCTGGTGTCACACTTGGAACCAAAGGGTATGGAAGGGAGGCGAGGCCCAAGAAGTGCTCGAGTGCCCTTCTGGGGACCACAGTGGGAAGAGGAGTCCCAAGAGTGGAAACCAACGAAGGCACCGCTTGGACGTGGCGGCGGCTCACTCCCGTTGTAACTGAACATGGCTCAAGAGGCACCTCTACCTACTTCACTTCATTTGATGCCCAGAGCTAGGTCAGTGCCCGAATCTGGGTTAGCTATAAATGTGACACACGCCCATCAGCTGCTCTGAAACCACAGGTTAAACCACCACAGCCAGCAGTGCCGTGGATCGTGAGCGAAAATGTCAAAACACCAGTGTGAGCCTCAGAAAATGCTCGGGTTCATTCTGGAAGACCAGCTGGTGGGTAGACCTAGGGTAGCCCACCCTAGGGACGGTGTCACGGTTAGGGAAGAAGCCGGAAGAGTCATCCTCCCAATAACCTGGAGTGTATACCAGGCCTGCCATGACCCGACTGCTAAAGAAGGCCGAGACAGCAAGAAAAGCTGCTGGGTGACTTTTTGGTGGGACCTGCACACAGTCGCCAGGTAACTCCACTTTCTCGTCTACCGGGTAATGCTTACTGTGCACACCGGCTTCATGGTGCAGTATTAGGTGAACCAAAAGGTATTCAGAGAAGCTCCGGGAAAGGGGTCACATATGCCCTTGACAAAGCTGACTCTTCCAGTGGCTGCTGAAGGTTGGATGAGGCAGGACTGCCATCCCTTGGAACATGTGGAGAGCCTGGATTCCTGAACCTCCCCCAGGTTCCAGAAGGGTACTTTACGGCATCCATGGACAACTAAAACTGAAAGAGAAATCTAAAGATTCAGAAATCCACACCCGGTGTTTTGGGAAGTGGCCTCGGAGCGTGGAGTAGGAAGATGGCGCCTGTGCTTTCCCAGGTCTCCGCTGTGCTGACAGCTCGCAGTGGGACCCCACACCCTGGCCATCACAGCCATCCCGGCCACCCCGACCGAGCGCGCGGCTCCCGTCTTCTTACCGAGGTTCGGCTTGCCCGTGTAGAGCTTCTCATAGAGGAACGTGTGGTCCCGGAAGCTCTGCAGAGTGTTCCCCATGGCTATGATGGACACCATGACCAGCCAGCTTCGCAACACGTTCAGGAAGCGGCTCATGGCTGCCCTCACACCTGGGGACAAAGAGGGAGGACGTGAGAAGCTGAGGCCCGTGGAGCCCCCTCTCTGTGGCTGACTCCCTTCAGGAGAGCCAAAAGTCCATGCGGGCAGTCACTGCATAAGTGCCTCTTATTAGTCCCTCAGCCTCATCTACCAGTTCTCTCTCTTTTTTTCTTGATTGAAATTTACTTAATCAACTTCTATTTAAAAGGTAGAGTGGAAAAGAGCAGGACACTGAGATGGTGAGAGCAAAAGGATCTTCCATCTGCGGATGCCCACAACAGGCTGGGGCTGGGCCAGGCGGAAGGCAGGAGCCAGGAACTCCACCCAGGACTCAGTCAAGTACTTGAGCCTCACCTGCTGCCTCCCAGGGTTCACACTAGCAGGAAGCCAGATCTGGCTTGACACTAGGCACTCAGATATACGGTACAGGTGTCCCAAGCGGCAGCTTAATTTGCTATGCCACAACATCCTTCCCTCAGCTCCAGTGCCCTGAACACATTACTCTTACTTCATTGGCCAGTATGTTGTCTTTCACTATTTGTCTTTGGTCACTGTGTTGACCTTTACCCAGAATGACAAAGACTGAATAGCACAGTGGACAGAAAAGGCAAACCCAGTGAGAAAAGTGGACCTGTACTAATATTACCATAAGGTAATATGGCTTCAGTGGAAGGCTTACAGAAACTGGTTGTAAAGCTTAGCTACACTAATAGTGGGGAATGCCCAGTATGTGATGAGGCAGGGTTCCTTCAAAACATTCATGGATATGTGTTCAAAAATGTTTTGCATCAAAAACAACTCTAGCTTTCCATTCTGGTTTCTAGGAACTTTTGTGAGTATACTCATCCAAGCAGGACAAGAGTCATCCTTGACTAAGCAGTTTCTTCCAATATGACCATCAGTCACTACTCCTTCCTTTCTGCCGTGCGGAATCGGTCCTCCTCTACCTCAGCTGGTTCCTGTCCCTGCTGCGGCAAGCTAACGCATCCACACATCCACACACAGACAGGAGTCCAGTTCCTGCCGACAGCTGCTTCCAGGCCCTGGAGCTTCGACTGAGGGGAACCCACACCAACAGGGCACCATGAACCCCCTGGGTTTCTTCTGCTACTCTCTCTCTCTCTTTTTAGATTTATTTATTTTTATTGCAAAGGCAGATATACAGAGGAAGAGACAGAGAGGAAGATCTTCTGTCTGCTGGTTCACTGCCCAAGTGGCTGCAACAGCTGGAGCTGGTGCGCGCAGTTAAACAGCTTAAAAACAGGTGCATCAGAGTGCCCAAAGAAGCCTGCACCCCATACTGGAGTTGCAGGTCACGCTCTGCTTCTCAGTCTAGTGTTCTGCTAACGGGCACTGCGGGGAGTAACAGGTGAGGACCCGGGTCCCCGCCACTCATGTAGGAGACTCCGATGGAAATCCCTGACTCCTGGCTTCAGCCTGGTGCAGCCTGAGGCTGCTGTGTGCATCTGGGGAGGGAGGCCATGTACGGGAGATCTCAATCTGTCTGCCTCTGAAATAAAATGAAGTCCCTCTAAAAATCACAATTGTATGAACTTTATTTTGGAGGGGGGCAAAATACACTTATCTTTTAACTCCATTTTTTTTCCATGAACTTTTTAAAGTACTCTCTTTCAACGTCTGTTCCAACATTTTGGGGAGGACAGCACAGGTCTTGTCCCCACCACCCAGTGGCTGTGTGAGGATGTAAGATGGAGCAACAAACATTCCCCTCAAGGGCTAGGATAGGAAGAACGACATGATCTCCATGTGAGGGGGCTCCTTGCACAGGGCTGGGTTCACTCGGCCATCCTTGGTCCCCTCAAATGCACTTACCCCTCTTCCTGGTTCCCCCAACTTCATTATCCCCCATTCCAACCTCTCTCCCCTCCACAAGGCTGCGGATTTGGCATCTTCGTCCCATCCCACTCTTGGGTCCTCTCCATCAGAGACCCCTCCGACACCCACACCCCTCCTCCTCACCTGGCCGCCAGGACCCCGGGCACAGCAGCAACCCCCAGCCAGCTTCCCCAGCACAGCTCCAGCCGGGATTCCACCTGAGCCACTAAGTCCAGCCCCCGCCCTCAGCCGAGCGCCGGGATTGGGTCGTTCCCTGCGAGCCTCGCTCTGATTGACTGATGCGAGCAGGAGATGGGGAGTGACCCCCTCTGCTGCCAATCAGCGGCTGCCCTGACTGAAGCCTCTCCCCGTGGGGCGCCGCGCCGGCAGCAAATCCTCCTGCAGCTCCCGGCGGGACTCGGGGTTGGGAGCCAACCTTTAAGGGGCGGAGATTAAGAAAAAAAGGCGGGGGGGGGGGAAGTCCAGAGGGGCCTTTGCAGCCAGTCCCACGCAGGATTCCCGCGCGGCGCAGCGCTGACGCCATCCGTTCGCGCCGCAGCCCGGCCTTGGCAGCGCCGGGTGACGGGCGCCTGCGCAGTGGCTCCCAGCGGGCGGTTGCTTGTTGGTTGTTGTAGTAACGGGGGAAGCAGCCGTCGGCAGCCACGGTGAGCCCGGCTGGAACAGGAGGAGGGAGGCAGGCGCAGAGTGCGGTCCCCACCTGCCCGCCGGAGCCATGGGAAGATGAAACAGGTAAACGCCTGCGCTTCCCGCCCCAAAGAGCTGCGCCCCGCAAGGGCTGGACCGGCCGTGTCCGCTGCACTTCCCTCCCCGAGCCCGGGATGGGCTTCCGGGCGCGCTGGGCTGAATTGCCGCGGCGGGGGCGCCCCGTGCTCTTCAGGGAGTCCTCCTGGGCTTGGGGGCGAGCTGGGGCTAGGGCCGTAGAGCAGGACCCTTGGAGGCGAGGACTCTTAACGAGGCGAGTGTCCTTAATCCTCTTTGGATCTCTCCGTCTCTTCCCCGCCCTGCAGGGCAGCTCTGGTACTGGGTTGGCATCCCTTGCTGCGGTTGTTGGTTGTAACTTAAGGGGCTTCCCAGTGTTTGGGGGCTTGGGGAGGAACCTGAGGAGATTCCTTCGGGAGGCTCCAGAAGAGAAGCCAGCTGTTAGGATTTGCCCATGTTCCTGGAGGTCTTCAGGGCTCCTGCAAGGGCTCAGGTTCTGGGTTTGGGGTTTTGTTCGGTTCCTGCTCTGATTTGCAACAGAATGTGTAGAAGAATCGTTCAGAAGGATGAATCTCAGGTGGTTTAGCTCTGAGCAGTGGAATTGTGGTCATTTAAACGTTTTCATTTTATAGTTTCCATTCCTTGCTCGAACCACATTGGAGATGATTTTTTTTTTTCCTTCTCTTCCTCTGAGGGGGGAAAAGACGTTTCAAATTAGAAAGGCCATGTTGGGAATTTATGCAATTGCAGTGGCTCTTGGAGATTCAGATCGAAGTTTGTGATTTTCAGTAAGGGAGAGTAATATTTTTGGAGTGTTTTGGAAGGGCAGTGCCCCCCAGTTATTGACTCAGGATGTTTTAATCTTTGGGCTCCATTACGGAATTTGGCCAAAACATGCTGGCATCTTGTGTCATTGTGTGTGAATAAATATTTGCAGAGGTCTCAAGTCCCAAGTGTTTATTTCTATCCTGGGGCAGGTTCTTATCGAGGTCCTAGTAAGGAATGTGTTCTGACATACACAGCCTCCTGCTCCTCCCTCAGACCACCCTGAAAGTGAAGTGAGCTGTGCCTTTTGGGTGTATGTTAGGTTGACTCTGTGAAAGAAACAGGAGACATTGAATAAGAGCTTTTTAAATAGCTTCCGGACAGTGGTTGTGCCAGGTGTGTGCCACCGCTAAGGTAAGCTTACGAGCGGCTGGGCGCTCCTCGGGAACGGCTGTGTTTCCCATGAAGTGGGAGACTGTCCGCCATCAGCAGTCCCTACCGTGCTGCGTTGTGTAGCAGAGCCATCGACTTCCCCCGCAGGAATCCGGGCTCCCCGAGTTGTTTGATCCGGTGAGTCTGCAAGGAAAGGTCGTCGAGGCCCCTGTCTGCGGACTGTATGACAGACTCCCGAGGAAATGCCCGTCGTGATGGCCCGGGACCTGGAGGAAACAGCGTCATCCTCCGAGGATGAGGAGGTGGTAAGCCAAGAGTAAGTAGCCTCGGTTTTGCGTGGTCCAGCGCTGGGTTCTGCTTCTCTCCCAGAGGCTGTTAGAACCGGGACATACGGCCCTATTTCTCTCACGAGTGAACGCCACCTCCATATGTTGCAAAACAGAGAGTGGGGTCTTGGTGAGCACTTGATTAAAGCTGCTTACCACTGAAGATTTCAAAATGTTTAGATGTTGAAGAAAAGTAGGCGAGCACACCGTGACCCTGCTTATGTTATGCTAAGGTTCTTGGGAGCCCTTAGAACCACAGGGTTGGGGTCATCTAGAGTTGCCGTGGTAGCTTGGCCATGCTGCCTCCCCCAGCAGTGGCGCGGCCTCTTCCTCACCTGCCTCTTGTTTGGACTTGATGATGAACCTGCTCTCTCCGGTTTACCCAATCTACGTGATTGGGCTCAACCTTAGGAATACCGGAGGCCTTCCTTAGAGACCCGTAAGGAGCAGGGGGTGACCTGAGATTCAAGCTCTGCTTTCCTGGATTGAGAACCCCTCTTCCCTGTGCCCTCCGTCAGTATGATTGCTCGACACAGGGGAGAGTCCAGCTTAAAGTGAAGACCCGTCTGCAATTCTCTAGGGGCCCTTTTGGACGTGACGTGCCGTGTGACTTGAAACATGGCGGGTGATGTCTCTCTTTTGCAGCAGTGTGACTAAGGGCAAAGGAATGCTTCGGGTGAAAGCACTCTGATGAAGCCATGCGTCTATAGGCATTATCATTACTGGCTTGTAGTCAATCTATGGCAGACTTCTGATAAAGGTGGAAGATTGTACTGATGCAATTTAAGAAAAAAATATTGCAGCGTTAATAAAGTTTGGAGGAAAGGGTTCTCCTTATTGTTAGGTCACAGAAAGTAATGGCAGTTTGACTATATTTGGGTCATTCTTTTTCAGGATACTTAAGTGGGTAATTCCCTCTGGTTCTTGGCCGCCTTGTGACTTTTACTTTCAGTGCAGCGCCTTTTGCCCATGTGACAAGGTTTTTAGCTTCTGTTGCAAGCATCAGTCTTTCAAGATTGTTTTTGCCTCTTACTATTTCCTGTATCAGTGGACCCAACAAGTTTTAGATTGAACTATACGACGTTAGCCTTGTGGGAGATCAAGAACAATCAAATATTGACAATTACAGATGGTTTGGCCCAATAGTAGAGCAGTTGCTCTGTAAATTCTCACTTGGATAAATACAGGGGTTCCTAACCCTTTTATGCCATTAATTCTTTATCAGAAAGAGTTTTTAAAAATTTTTTTGTTTATTTATTTGAAAGAGGGAGATTTTTAATCTGTTGATGTACTTCCCGAATGCCTGAAATAGCAAAGGCTGGGTCAGCCCAAAGCCAGGAACCAGGAATTTCGTCTGGGTATCCCAAGTTCCTGAAGTGTAACGTACTGCCGTTCAGAATATCCACTATCAGGAAGCTGGGATTGGGACCCGAGGTGGGACTCAAACCCAGGGACTCCAAGAAGGGATATGAGTATAGCAAGCAGCGTCCTAACTGCTGCACCAAATGTCTGCCCTGAGAATGCTTTTCCCCCTTAAGATTTACTAATTTTTATTGGAAAGGCAGATCACAGAGCAGAGAGACAAAGATCTGTCACTGGCACACTCCCGAAATGGCAACAGCTGCAGTTGAGCCCATCCAGAGCCGGGAGCCAGAAGCTTCTTCTATGTGGGGTCCCAAGGCCTTTGACCATCCGTCACTGCTTTCCTGGGCCACAGGCAGGGAGCTGGATGGGAAGTGGAGCAGCTGGGACTTGAACCAGTGCTCATGTGGGATGCCAGTGCTGCAGGTGGAGGTTTAGCCTACTATGCCATGTCACTGTCCCAAGAATGTTGCTCTTAGGTGCTTAAAATTAAATGCCTATTGTTATAAAGAGTACCAGTTGCATTGAAACATTTTATTCTATATAACTATATAAATTATATAATTATAATCACATAAACTATAAATGATTATAGAATGCGCATTTTGTTCTATTAAGTAGCAACAATCATTTAAATTTTTTTAAAGATTTACTTGTTTTCATTTGAAAGGCAGATTTTACAGATGTAGGGAAAGAGAGAGAGAGAGAAAGAGAGAGAGAGGGAAAGAGAAGGTCTTCCACTTGAGAGAGAGAGAGAGAGAGAGAGAGAGAGAGAGAAGGTCTTCCACTTGTGCACCAAGTGGCCACAGCAGCCAGAATTGATTCGATCCAAAGCCAGGAGCCAGGAGCTTCTTCCAGGTCTCCCACATGAGTGCAGCATTCCAAGTACTTGAGCCATCTTCCACTGCTTTCTCAGGCCATAGCAGGGAGCTGGATCAGAAGTAAAGCAGCCAGGACACAAATTGGCTCCCATATGCGGTGCCAGGGTTACAGAGCAGAGGTTTACTAACTTGCTGTGCCACTGCCCCACCCTGTAAGTTTTTTTCTAAAGAGAAGCGTATGAAGACTGTTTTCTGCTTAGCTTGTATGAAACATTACACCTTGAGTGGTGGTCCTGGGTGAGCAGTTCTGAGTGGGGAGTGCTGGGAAGGTACTGGATGGTCTGGTTCTTGTCCGGTCTCCTCACACACACTGAGTAGGGCAGCATGATGCCATGGGATCTGGGGAGAGTAATAAGCACTCCCTGAGAAGCAGTGACCCACAGAGCTGGCATTGTGAGATATTTGCAGTGATTGTAAGAGGGCATTGAAAAGCACGTGGGATTCCAGACCCAGTCGAAGGCACTGGTGACACCAATGCCACACCAGTGTGCTCACATCCCCCAGCTGTCAGGATGTTCAGACCTTGCCGTCTGGACCCTTAGAAGCCATCCTGGCAGTGCTGTTCTTGGTGGCATCATTTCAAATAGCAAATGTAAAGAGGCCTTTGGTTTTTTTCTCCTTTCTGTATCTTACTTGGAGATCCTAAGCACAAATTCATTTACAGATGTGGACACAGACAAGAACCTGATACAAAGTTTCTTTAGTTCCTGAAAAGAAAATAGTAACTTCAGTTTCTGCCATAAAAGTGGGCTTTTGTGTCACCAGCAAGCAGTTATATAATGGGCGAAATCAGGAGGTGGCGTGGTCACGTGCCCGGGGGTGGTGAGGAGTGGCCCGGGGTGGGCGGTGGGTGGGCACGGAGAAGCAGGGAGAAGTGGGGAAAGCCATTTCCAGCAGGGGCTGTGGAATGCGGAGGGCGGAGAAGCATGTATGCAAAGACTGCTTCACTTCGCCACCTTTTTGTTATTGTCATTGTTTAGTGTCCATTCACTTAGAGGCAGAGTGACAGACGGTGGCATCGTCCCCCTGGCTCATCCCCATGCCCTCCCCAAGTGCCCACAACAGCAAGAGCCAGGTCAGGCTGGATTCATGAGCTAGCCACTCCAGCCACGTCTCCTCCGTGGGAGCACTGATTTGAGAGACAGAAGGAGAGCTCCCCAGTGCTTGAGCTGGACAGGGACAAAGCCAGGACTCCAGAACTGGGATCTGGCAGTTGATGTCAGTGGAGGGGACTTGAGCATTTGAGCCCTCACCTGCTGCCATCCAGATGGCGTTAGCGGGAGGCTGGAATTGGAAGCAGAGCCGGGACTGGACTTCTGTATACCATGGAATGTGGGTATCGCACCTGGCATTGTAATGGCTAGGCCAAACGCCCAATGCCCCTGGCCTCTCTGTCTTCTTGACTTACGTAGTTTATGTCCCGGGAGTGACATAACCTCATTCAATTGCTTCTTAAAAAACCAAAATGTTCTTTAGCATTTGATAAAGTAAACCATGAAATGGTTCTGTGTGAATAAGTAATCACTTAATTCCTTAATTCTTTCAAAAAGTGGATTGTCTCAGTAGTTACCAGCTTCTGATGCAAAGGAATATGTAAAGTTCCAGATTGCCGTTTCTTCATCGTTTTGGATTTTTTTTCTCTTTAGCGCCACCTTGTGGGAGCATGTTTTAAATGACAGTTTAGCCTTTGTTTGTTAAGTTGACTCCCTGTTTTACTTTTCCATGGGCTGTAAATGAAAAGTTTCTCTGTCCAGATGTTATTTTGCACAGAGAACGTGGATAGGGCCTTGGGCAGACTCAGCTCAATGCCGAGCTCCTGATGCTTGCCCTGCATTTGTGACTTGTAGCAGCAGTCCCTCCTTTGTAAACATTGAGGCTCAATGGTACCAGTTTGTAGCCAGGGCTGACTGGACAAGGAACTTTGAGTAGTGTCCCAAGTTTTTCTCCAAGACTTTGGAGTTTATTCGGCCTATCCTCCCCCCTCCACCCTCCATCCCCCACCGCTAGCTAGAAATATAATGGGAAAATTAAAATTGGAAGATGTCATAGGAGTCAGCTGGGCCCCTGCCCACAGTTTACAGCTGTTTAGAGTTAAAGCAAGCAATCATCCCCCCACACCACCTCCTGCCCCTCCCCATCACAGACTCTTGTTAAAAAAAAATGTACCCTGTATATACCATTCCTCCCTGCTTGCACACCAGTCCCCAAGTAGAAGGACAATAATAATAGGCTTGCCCATTCTGTTTCTTGAAAACAGGAAATGAGCTAGGTATGGGGCTGTTGGCATTCTTCACTGAAGAGCTGCAGGCAGCTCAGCCCAGCTCTGCAGCCTGCCTCACGTTTGGTGGCCTGGTGGCCTGGTGGCCTGGCAGCCTGGCACAGGCTGTATTTAGAGGGCAGACCTTTGAAAACTTGGAATGGGAGGGTCTGGCTGGGCCCCGAGATTTGTAGTCTCTGCTATGTGAAGGGGGAGTGGTCACGTGTGTTTGAATTTGAGTGGAGTGAATGCTGGCCAAATGGCCTCACTCCATTTAAGGAACTGATTGGTTCAAATTCCCAGTGAGTCAAGTTGGAGACGTTCAGAGCCTGATGGAAAAGTGATGAGGGAGGCCGAGGGGATGAGAGCACAGACTCCGGCAGCTCACGGAACCTCCCGGAGATTTCTGGAGTTCATAGTGTGGGCAACAAGGTGAAGCAACGGGAGAGATGAAATAACTCCTCGTGAGCTTAGTTCCTGCCTTGGAGTCGGAACTCGGTTTATTTAATTTTCTTTCCCTTATCACATCTCTGCCCTAAAGAGATGGAAGATTTTTTTTTTTTTTGCAACTCTGTGAGTAAATATCAAATTGTCTAAGATTGATTTGAACGTTATTTATTTATTTTGAAATGGCATTGTGTGTCCCTCATATATAAACAAAGAGTAAGATAGATTCCTTCCACCTGCTGGCTGATTCCTCAGCTGCCGGCAACAGCCGAGGCTGGACCAAGCTGAGCAGGGAGCAGGGAACAGTGGAACTCCAGGTACTGGAGCTGTCTTCACTGCCTGTTAGAATGGGCTTTAGCAGGAAGCTGGATCCGAAGTGGGACAGCCGGGCCTCTGGCAGGCGCCATGACGTGGGATCTGGGTGGCCCAGGAGGCGGTATAAAATGCCCTGCCACAGTGCTTGTGTCTAAGGACATTTCTTGGTGACGGGGAAAGAGAATTTATTTTAGTCAGAGGTCCCAACGTTCTGTCCTCTGGTTCCTTTACTGGAGAAAACTCTATGAGGGGTCTTAAAAAAAAAACTGTTCATAGGCAACGCATGTCATGAAAAAACCGTGCATGGATTTCAAAATCATTTTGCGTCAAAATTTATCTTTTAATTCTGTTTTCCACAAACTTTTTGAAGCATTCTTGTATATTATTCCACTTAACATAGGCGTTCTTTAAAATATGTGATTTCCAATGGGGTGTTTGAATTAATTTTGGGGTCTTAGCTCAGAATCTGGATGGCTTGAAAAGGCAGCGTACATCTTTGCGACTACATCAGGATTTTTATTCGTACCACAAGGGATTAAAACGTAAGAAAGGCAGTCTTAAATAATGAAGCGGATGTGTTCACTCACAGCCAGGCACAGCTGGAGTCTGCTGCTCTTGACCTTGTCACCCAGAGTCCCATTTTCTCTGACTTGCCATCAGGCCCCCAGTGGCTGCCTCCTTCTGGCACGACTCGGAGCATCCCTCTCAAGGCCCTCAGTCGGATGTTGCGGTTCCAGACTTTTTTCCCCTCAGCCTGCTGACCATCAGGAGGAAGAGGGGTGGGGACGTGAGTTTTGTGGCACGGAGGGGTCAGCTGCGGCTTGGTATGCCTGCGGCCCATGTTGGCATGACAGTTTGAGTGTTGGCCCCTCCCCTTCTGATCCAGCTTCCTGTTCTTGTGTACCTGGGAGGCAACAGATGATGACTCCCATACGGAGTCCCTGCCACCTTGTTGAAGACCTGGTTACAGTTTCTGGCTGTTGGCATCAGTCTGGCCTTAAACTGGCTGAGGATTTAAGGAGTGAGCAGCGGATGCAAGGTTTCTGTGTCTTTCCCTTCCCCACCCCCACCTCTACCTTGGAAATAGATGAAAATAAGTGAAATAAACTCCCCAAGAGGAAGAGAAGCCGTCTCCGTACCTGCTGCCGCTCACGCAGAGCGTCTTCGAGCTGACCTCTGTACAGACAGGCTCTGCTGGGCTCCCTTGTCCCTGGCATGCGTGCTGGCATGCCCAGCGTGCCGAAAGCAGCCATGGGCCATCCGTGAAGCAGCGATGGTGTCCACTGTAAGCCAGTGCAGGGCTGGGACTGGGAGCTGAGGGGGTTCTCACGGGATAATTGGGGTCCTCATTCCAGAAGGCAGGGGAAGGCTGCTGAGCCAGAGACTGCTAACGCGCTGTGGCACATGATTCAGATTCTGAGCCCTAGGTTAACGAAGACTTGTGTTCCGGCTCTAGGGATCATCCATGTATCATGTGGACCGGTGGCTGCAGGAGGATTCCGGTTCTGGTTTTCCATGCTGAGGCTATCCTGACCAAGGACAACAACATTCGAGTAATTGGAGGTGGGTGTGACCTCCGCCCACGCAGGGCAGAGCTGTGCGTGGCCCTGACAGACCCTGTCCTGAAGAAGTAGATGCAAAGGAGCCCTGGCCACGAGACCGATCTGTTGCATCGTTTTACTTGAACAATTTTTTTTCAGAATTATATGTGTTTGTATTTTTAAAAGGTTGTGGTAACATACACATAATGGATTTTACTATTTTAACCATTGTGTAACGTACAGTTCCTTGGCAGTTCGATATATTCATGATTGTGCAACCGTCACCTTGGCCTGGCTTAGGAACACTTTCATCATCACAAAAGTGAAACTTGTATCCCCATGAAGTGGCCGCTCCCCGTTCCCGTAGACTGCCAGTCCCTGGCGACCGCTAATCTGTTTACGACACCTATGGTCTTGTTTATTCTGAAGATTTCATATAAATGGAATCCTGTAACATGTGGCTTTTTGGATCTGGCTTCTTTCATCATGTTTTCAAATTTCATTCAGGTTGGGACATGTGTCAGTCTCTTACTTTTATTTCATGGCTAACATGCTACAAGTAAGTGTCCCGTCTCTTTGTTCCCGTGGCTGGCCATGGTTAGCAGTGCTGCTAAGAGTGTTTGCGGACAAGTTCTTCTTGAACACCTGTTTTCAATTCATTTGGGTATTTTCAGGAATGAAATTGCTAGGCCATATGCCCCTGCCGTGTTTTACTAAGACCCTGTCCAGCTGTCCTCCGTGGTGGCTGCGTCCATTCCCCCTCATCAGAGGTGTGAGCTCCGTTTTCCCGTGCCTGCTGGCCCTGCTGGCCTGGGATATTTTCTGACTGTTTAGATTATAGCCGTTCAGGTGAGTGTGAAATGCCCTCTCACTGTGGTTTTGTTTAACTTTCCCTCCTGTCTGCTGACAGGGAGCGTCTTCCTGCGTGCTTGTTGACCGCTCATGTATCTTCCTTGGAGAAATACCTGCTTATTGAAGGCCTTTGCCCATTTCTTTAAAAAAATTTTTTTAAATTTTACTTTAAATATTACTTACATAGTTGAGAGGTGCATGCCGGTGTGGGCCTTGGATTAGGGTGATTAGGGCTGAGGTATGAAGGAGGGTAGGTTGGACGAATGTTTCAGCTGTTCTGTATTTTTTATTTTGTCTACTGTGTCTGTTGGCAGATTGCGGGAGGGGGCCTCTCCTTGCTGTCAAACTATGTCTGACCTTGGGGATGGTGGATCTTCGTTTGATGTTGCCTTGAAGAGAACCTCATGGTTGGGAACAACATCCTGAGGCTGTCACTTTGATAGTTCTGGGGCATTGGCGGCTTCCTTGTTTCAGGGTTGAGAAAATCTCCCTAAGGTCGGTTTGCTGATCTAGTCCACTACAAATCCCTGTGATGAAAGAAAAACCATTAAGTGTGTCCTCAGATTCTTTGTTTTTGAATATTCTGAATGTTCCCAAGTTCACTGAGGCTCAGTAGTTTTCTTTAGCTTCTTTGCTGAGTAATCTGAAGAACTTGTGCTGCTTGCTGCCTTCGTTTTCTCAGTTGCTCAACGGTCACAGTTTGCACTTATTTTTCGCAACTCTCCTAAATGGCTGTCATAAATCTGCCCCCATCATAAGCCTGCGGGTAAATCCTCTTAAGAACCATGAGTCTGGGCCATCCGTTATCTTCTGTTGCTCTTGCAGTGTAAGCTGTCAGACTTGCTTTGTCCGTTTATACATATAATGTTTTGATGAATTCATTGTTCATATATTTGGTAAATAGTGTGACTTCTCATGCTTTTTTGATGGAATGTATCTTTTTCTCCATCATAATCTCCTCCTCTCCTCCCCGTTGTCTGTACTTTAAGCGTATAAGTAGGGTTGTGCTTTTTAATGAGAAATTTAATATTTAGTTTACTTTTTTGTGTGGAGTCAGGCAGTATTTTATAATTTGCCTGTGAATATATCTATTTGGTAAGTGTGTGTTTGGGCAGCTTAACAGTAGAGGTTGTATATACAATTTAAATTCTTCAGTGGCATTATTTAAAAGGCAATTAGTTATAATGTTTTTTTTTTCATTTTTTAAATAATTATTATCATTCTATGATACAGTTCCATAGGCCCTGGAATTTCCCCTATCCCCTTCCCAAATCCACTCCCCCCACCCCCCCCCCCCCCGAGTTCTCCCGTATCGTTACAATAGCGTAGTTTCTCATAAACAGTCATAAGTTCATCATTGTGGGCATGGACAATGGCAGAGAGTCCAGCATCCCGTTGTCAAGACACATCCAACCATTTCACTGGGAGTCCCTCCTTGATCTAGAAATAGAGATACACACTGCGCCTTATCCTCACATCTGGACGTATCAGTCTCCACTACACAGTCAGTATAAATCCCCCCCAAGTGAAAAACCTCAACAGGAAGAAAAATAGAAATTTATAATGCCAAGAATCTATGATGTTGGTTGATGAGATTAAGCCATTTACATTTAGGGTTAATATGTACGGGTGGCATTTTGGTCCTGTCATTTTAGCAATGGGTTTTTCATTGACTTAGTCTTCAGTTGTTATTTTACTGGGATGTTCTTCACATTTACCTTTGGTTTTGGTGCTATTCTTCTTCCCTGTCAAGAGAACATCTTTAAGTATCATTTGTAGGGCAGGTTTGGAAGAGGCATATTCTTTTAACTTTACTGTGGAAGAGTTTTATTTCGTTTTCAAAGACAAAGGAAAACTTTACTGGGTATGTTATCCTGGGCTGACCATCTTTTGTTTTTAGAATCTGGAATATGTCACTCCATTCTGTTCTTTCCTGTAGCGTTTCCTGTGAGAGGTCTCCTGTGAATTTAATTGGCATTCCTTTATATGTCAATTGATTTTTTTCACGTGCACATTTAAGGAGCTTTTCCTTATGTTTGAAGAGAACATGGTTATCATGTGTCGTGGTGAAGGTCGCTTTTGGTCAACCCTGTTGGGTGTTCTGTGCCCCTCCTGCATGTTTCCCAATTCTTTCTTCAGATTAGGGAAATTTTCCCTTGTTATTTCATTAAATACATTTCTAAACCCAGCGTCTCTTTCTGTACTTTCTAGGACTCCCATAACTCTTATATTTGGCCTTTTAGTAGTGTTTCTTAATTCCTGAATACTTTTTTTAGCTTGACCCAGCTCTGTTTCCAACTTTTTGTGTTTCCTCTGGTGACATAAAATATCTTCTAATTTTGAGATTCTTTCTTCTGCCTCCTTCATTCTATTTTGGAGACTTTTCATCGAATTTTTAATTTGCTCTATTCATCCTTCATTTCCAATAATTCAGCTTGACTTTATTTTAGTGTTGCTATTTCCTTTGTGACGTATTCCTTAAATTCCTGCATGTGCTTTTTGGTTGTTGGTAAGCTTTACAATAAAGGGTTTTGAATTCTGTATCCTCCATTTTCTCAATGTCTTCCTCAGTTAACTCTGGCAAAGGGTTTTGCTCCTTTGCAGGGGAGTCTTCAGGAATATCCATTGTGCCTTTTTTTCTTCTTTTGCTGTTGGTTATTGTACTTCTGTTTAGCAGGTTTTTCTCCTTAGGGCAGGTTTCTAAGCTATGTCACCCACAGGTCTGTCACCCAAAAAATCAAACTGGCTTCCCAGACCTATTTTGGGTGTAACGTGGTTGCTGGTGGAGTTCTGGCTGCTGGTGCAGTTCACATTGCTGCTGGCTAAATACTGCTGGAATGTCTGGTCACTGCAACACCTACGCGTTGTTTCACTGCTATCCTGTGGCCCTCAGTCTCCACGCACCCCTCTGTTGTTGGTCTGTCCTCTCCTGTTTCCAGGAATGTGCCCTCTCTGCTTCACCATGGCTAATGCTTCTTCATCTGTTTAAATGTGTTCTCACCCTATTCTGCCATCTTGATTCTCTCAACAATGTTCTTTAACTCAATGTATCAAAATTCTATTTTTTTCACCTTCTATATTTAAAAATCATTGATAAGATATTTTATATCTCATATGTATTTACGCCTAAAGTACATCTCGGGACTGATGTTGTGGTGCAGTAAGTTAAGCTGCTGCCTGTGATACCAGCATCCCATGTAGAGTGTGGCGTTAAGTCCCAGCTGCTTCACATCCCATTCAACTCCCTGCTAATGCTCCTGGGAAAGCAACTGAGGATGGCGCAAAGGCTTGGGCCCCTGCCACCCACCTGCGAGCCCCAGACTTCAGCCTTGCCCGGCCCTGGCCTTTGTAGCTATTTAGGGAAGGAGGCAGCAGATGCAAACTCTCTTGTTTCTCCCTCTCGCCCTCTCTGAAACTCTGCCTTTCAAACAAATAAGTCTTTTTAAAAAAATATTGCCCAGTTTGATAAAAAAATTTTTCATTGGAAGTATTTTATCTGTATTTGGATTTCGTAGACAGTTGACTTCATAGACAAGCTGTCTCAGACAACTTTTCTAATTGCTGAATCAGGTATCAGTTTTAACACCTAAATGCATTTAAGTTAAATAAAATGAAAGGTTTGTCTCTTCTGTCATGCCACCATAATTCAGGGGGCTCAGAAGTCACACATGGTGACAACATCTGACAGTGCAGGGATGGACCTACTCTTCTGATATTAGGATACAGCACACCATGTTGTCATTGCAGGTGTTATTCTTACATCCTGAAAGGCAGAGATGTCAGTTTTGTCTTCATTCTGGCTTCTGTGCTGTTTTTGTCCCAATCTCTTGGGGGCACTTTCCAACCCCCTAGCTACTTGTGCACTGACAGTTGAAATTTTTAGTTCAATTGCTTTGCCACAGCCAATCCTGGAGCTGGCCAGCAGGGATTGTAGCAGTGCAGGTCGACTCCCGGAACACACAAGAGTGATTCAAGAAAAGGAAACTGTGTTTTCCTTTGGTTGAACAGATAGGGTACTCATTCAAAAATAGGGTGCTTGTCAGCTTGCCAGGAATCAGGGATACTCCTGCCCTGCCTCTTTGTGGGGCGCAGTGTCTTTCTTGCACAGTTAGGTGGTTCTGTTTGCAGTTGCAGTTCTCCATAAAGCTGTGCCAAGGGTGACCAAGTCCATGTACTAGGGAGAGGGAAAAGGAGAACGTGAGAGGAGATGAAAAAGAGGAACTTCCTTAAAGGACTTGGCTCCTGTGGTTATGGAAGCTGAGAAGTCCTGTGATCTGCTGTCTACCAGCTGGAGACCTAGGAGGGCTGCTGGTACGGTGTGGCAACCCGTGAGCCAGAGAGCCAGCTGTGCGCATTCCGGGCTGCATGTGAGTGCTGGGGGCAGAGAAAGCTGTGTCCCAGATCGTGCAGTTGGGCAGGAAGCACGTCACCCACCAATCTCTCCTATGGGGACCCTGTACGGATGGCATGATGCCCACAGGCAAGGCAGTCAGGGTTGTACTCAGTGCCCAAGTTCTAATATTAGATCACTCTGGAGTCTCCCTCATATATACACCCTGTCATACTGTTTTCATGGGATTTTTCAGCATCATGTGGCTGAGTTAGACACATGCAATTAGCCATCATGCCAAGATAGCTAAATTTTTCAAGAGATGCCCAGGAATCTAGGCTGCTAGATTTTTTTCTCTGATTTTTTTTTTAAGATTTATTTATTTTTATTGCAAAGTCAGATATATACAGAGAGGAGGAAATACAGAGAAATATTCTACCACTGGACTACCAATGCAACAACATTTTCCTCTAATTTTCAAGGATTGGTGACTAGTTTAATTTTTTTTTTTTAACAATATCATGAATGAGAAATAGACTGTTGGCAAATGAAGGGTTACCAGTTTACAGCCTGCTGTAAGAAGCAGTGTAAACCAGCACTGGACACTGAGCACGAATGTGAGTTAGAAATCCCCAGCAGTGATACTTAACTTTCCTTTATTCCCTTTTCCAGATTGAGGTCAATCTCCAAATGCCTGCAACAGCTAGAGCTGGGCCAGGCCAAAACCTGATGCTGGGAATTGAAGCCAGTTCTTTCATGTGGGTGGCAGGGAGCCATTAGTGCTGCCGCCTGGGGTGCATATGGCAGGAAGCTAGAATTGAGAGTGGAGCCAGGACTCACGCCCATGCCCTCCGAGAGTGGGACGTGGATATCCCAAGCAGTATCTTGGCCACTGCACCGATGCCCACTGGTCTTCCTTGCATTTCTTGTGTTTCCCTTTTGGAAGATGTCCAGTGTATCTGAGTTAAATTATAGTTAGATGATAGTGATTAAAAGTGGTTGGTTACTACTTAACTGTTTGGTGAGAATCAGATCTGTCACAGAGTGCACTGGTGGTTGTTTTTCTTCTGTATTAGCAGGAATGAAAGATTACTAATACTCTAAGCTAAAGGTATAATTTCCTATGTTTGGTTCTGTATATTAATAAAAATTATTATACTTTTACTTTCTACAGTATAAAAATTTTAATATGTAGCAACAACTCTTTTTTTTACCCCCCAAAGCTTTATTTGGAAGAGTTACAGAGAGGGAGGGAGAGAAGGAGAGAAAAAGAGACAATCTGTTCACCGGTTCACTCCCCAGATGGCCTCAATGGCCAACACAGAGTCACACTGAAGCCAGGAGCTTTCTTTGGGTCTCCAACTTGGGTTGGAACCCAAACTCTTGGGCCATTTTGCGCTACTTCCTAGGCCATGGACAGGAAGGGAGCCGGATTGCAAGTTGAGCAACCAGTGTTCGAACTGTTACCCATATTGGATGTCCCACATCACAAATCGTTGCTTTACCTGCTATGCCTGCAACAACTGTTCATTGTTCCAAACATTTCATGTGAAACAAAAATCTGTCAAGTTGCAGGTTGCAGAATACTGCAGTGCATACATATATCCTTTCCTCTAAATTCACCAGTTATTAATGATTTGCATCTTTAAACCATTTGTTAATTCATTCAAGTACTTTACTTCCCTGAAACCTTAGAAAGTTTATGGAAACATAGAAGTGATATTTTAGTATATGTGCTGCCAAAGCGAGTGAGCACGGAATCATAGAATTAAAAGGTAAGTTTATTTTGGCACAAAAAATTTTTGAAATCCAAGATTATGTATCTCCTGAAAGCTAGATTTTCTTATGTGTAACCACAATAATTAGTCATTCGTAAAATATTGTTACCTGACCTACAGCTGTGACAGCAATTCCTGCATTGTTCCAGTTTTGCCCTTTTTAGCTCCTTTATTTTGTTTATCTATCTAGGATCCAATCAAAGATTACATTTAGTTGTCATATTTATTTAGTCTACTTTAGTCTACAACCGGTTTCCAGACTTTGTGTGTCACTCATGACACTGATATTTTTTAAGATCCAGACTAGCTGTTTTGTAGACAGTCCTTATGATTTATTGTTATCCCCGTCTGATGATTTCCATGTGTAGATTCCAGGTTTTTTTGTTTTGTTTGTTTGTTTGTTTGTTTAAGTGTTCAGGACTGTCCCTGGGTGAAGTTGTGGCTTTCACAATGTGCCACGTTTGGAAGGGTGTGATGTCATGCATTGTTGGTGATGACAGGTTTGATCGTTTGGTTAAGGTAGTGGTCACTAGGTTGTTGCATTGCGGAGCTGTCTCTTCCTGTTGGTTCCAAGCACTCCCTGGAGTGAGATGTTGAGATGTGCGTGGTACGTTGTGTTTTCTAGGATGAGTCCCTCACCCATTGGTGTCCCTTGTTTCTTATCTGAGTTAATCTTATGGTTATTGTAAAATGGTTATTTTTCGGTTCTATCTTTCCTTCTACTTTTCTTTGTTGACTTTTCTATGTTTTACTTCATGTGGTAGGCAGAATAGTGGTCCCAAAGATGTCTGCTTCCTGATTCCCAGACGCTGAATAGGTTACCTTGCCTGGCAAACAGACATTGACTTTGTAGCTGGATTTAAAGTGGCTCAACAATTGACTTTAAGATACCAGAATTGCCCCAGTAGACCTGGTGTAATCACTGTGTAATCTTTAGGAAGAGGAGTCAGAGTGGTGTAATGTGAGGACGATGGCCTTGTTGCTGGCTTTGGAGGTGGAGGAAGTAGACCTTAAGCCACAGGCAAGGAATAGGGTGACCGATAGTGGTTGGAAAAGGGGAGGAAACACGTCTTACGCAGAGTCCACAAAAAGGAGGATCTCCCCGCCAGTCCCTGAGCTTGGCCTAGTGAGGTTTGTGTTAGACATACGAGCCTCAGAGCACTAAGATGATGGGCTTGCGTCTCAGCTGCCAGGTGTGGTGATTTGTTACAGCTGCTAAAGATAACCATTGTACCTGGATTCATGGATTCTATAAGTGTGTTAGCATCTCCCTTAGTCATTCCTCATTTAGTGTTCACATTGGCTCTGTCAGTGGCTCCCTCAAGATTTTCTTGTGGCATGTTTTCAGTCTTTGGACCTGACAATATGCTTCAGTTCTATCTTAGGTTTTCCTCCCTGAGTTGGAATCCTCCATGCCTTGGAATCAGACATGCACACACACATACATGTACATACACACACACACACACACACACACACACACACACACACACACACACACACACACACACAGAGATTTATTTATTTGTAAAAGTTTCAGAGAAAGTTCCAGGGTAAGAGAGAGAGAAAATCTTCCATCTACCGGCCTACTCCCCAGGTGGCCAGGGCTATATCAGGCTGAAGCCAGGAGCCAGGAGTTTCCTCTCAGGTCTCCCCTGTTGGTGCAGGGGGCCAGGCACATGGGCCATCCTCCACTGCCATCCTAGCTATTAGCAGGGAGCTGGATTTGGAGAAGGGCCAGAACATGAACTGGCACCTGTATGGGGTACTCGTGTTGGTGGGTGGTGGCTTTATGTGCTGTGTACAACATTGTCCCCGGAACAAGCATTCTTCAGCAGCTCACAGCACTGCCTCTTGTGTTGTCTCCTAAGTCAGCACAAGTGACTGCCCTTTTCCTCTTGTCATCTTACCATTCACAAGAATCCCAAGGAATCTCAGGCCAAGAACCCTTGGTCCAGCATCATCTCATACTTATGTATAGTAGTTTGAATGGTAGCAATATTGGTTACAGAATATAATTATAACAACCCCAGTGTCGTAGGGTTTAGTCTCGTTTTTACAGTTAGCTTTCTGGTTCCTAAAACTTGATCCTGTGCTTTTCTTTAGAACGTTATCATTTATCTTACAAGATTGTACGGACTGACAGTCGCCTAGTACGCAGCATTCTAACAGCCCATGGATTTCATGAAGTAAGTTGATTTTTGCTATTTCACCTGATCTGCTCAAAGGCTGGAAATCTTAGCCACCTATCTGATGCTGCCTGTTAGCAAGGTCAATGTTAAACAACATCTTGGGAGCCAGTAAACAGTGATGGTGCAGAACATGGGTTGAATTTCTGAATGGTCTTACCAGTTTCCTTTTACAATACATAGAAGACCTTTTCACAGTTTTGTTTGTTTTTCTTGTCATCTTCTTGGATTTGAGCTAGAAGCTGAGTTGCTCATAAGGATTTGTTTGATCTCCAAGTAAGATTATCTGATTGCAACAAAAATGGATTTTGTCTAGCTTAAGCCAAAAGGGATTTGTGGAGAAGGTGAGCAGGGGGCAGTTAATAGGCTCAAAGGCACAGCCGCAAAGTTAGGCTTCTGGAAGGAGAGCGACTCAGACAGCCCCAGGGATCTGGGGGCGGGCCTCTTTAGGATTGTCATCAGGACCTGTCAGGTGTGAGGTGACTCCATTCGTTGTCCTTATGCCTTTCTCTGCTTGAGGACTTGAGAAGCGCATTCTGGAGATAGAAGATTGGCCAACTGCAGGTCATGGTTCTGCCTTGTTATGGGAAGAGTTGGGTGGGTGATTGGCAGTGCCTTTAAAATGAAGGGATAAGCCATTGGGACATATCATCAAAGACTGGCAGAAATGCAACAGTTTTTGCTTTAGATCTTTTGAAAGAATTGATCAAGTCTGTTTGTCAGTAGGAGATTTTTTTTTAAAGATGTATCGACTATTCTAAAGCAGTTATAGAGAGAAGGGACACACACACACACAAACACACCCCTTCCATCTGGTGGTTTATAACCCAGATGGGAATAACAAGCAGAACTGGGCCATGTTAAAGCCAGGAGACTGAACAGGGTCTCCCACAGGGTGGCAAGAGCTCATAGATCTGTGGGCCATCTTCTGATGCTTTTTCCAGGCCATTAACAGGGAGCTGGATCAGAAATGGAGCAGCTGGGACAAAAAATGGCACTTGTGTTGGACACTGTCATTACAGGCAGCAGCAACTTCATGTGTTACGGCACAATTTCAGCCTCTGTAGATGTTTTGACGAAGTTCTGAAACAAATTCTTGTCTATCATTTTTGCTGGTCCTTAACATGGCGTCTGTCATATTACAGAAACAATACATAATTTTTGAAGAATGGACATGTGAGTGCTGTACATAGAATTTAAACTGTCGCCATGTTTTGTGAAACTCTGCTGTTGTCTCAGCAGGCTCACCCAGTAACCGGGTCACCTCCAGAAACTCTGGATCAAAAGCCATTTGACATTTTCTCCCATCGCAGTTCCTGGGCAGGGACTCCCTCTGATGTTTCTTTGCCTTCCCATCTTTCTCTCTGCCTTCAGGTTCACCCAAGCAGCACTGACTATAACCTCATGTGGACAGGATCCCATCTGAAGCCCTTCTTACTTCGCACCCTCTCTGAAGCACAAAAGGTCAATCACTTCCCCAGGTAATCGCTCTTATAGCTGCTTCCTAAAATTTAAACACTTCTTGCCATCAGAGCTAATGAAAGTCCTTCAGGAAGAGCAGCAACAAAGGCAGTTGTTTCGATGCAGGGCATCTCCCTGACTGCGCATAAACACTTGCCGAAGGGGACACATATGGTTGTGTCATCATTCTTGTCTTATTATTATTATTTTAATCTGAGAGATAGAGAACAAGCTTTCTTCTGCTGGCTCACTTCCCAAATGCTCACAATGGCTGGATCTGGACCTCCTGAATCCAAATGCTGGAAACTCAGTACAGGTCTTCCATGTGAGGGTTCTTTACTGCAATTGCTCTTCCTGTTTCATCAAACAGGGCAACTTTTAAAAATTTAATAGGAAATCATTAGAGATCACCTTAAATCCTGATTTGGTTCCTCTTGGATTAAACAAACAAAACTCTGAATTTTGAAGGGCACCCATTTTTCTTCAGTTGGTAATGTAAAAGGGATTTTGTTCAATTGTCAAACCCTCAGTTCTATAATGGTGGGCTAGGTGACTGCTGTCATCACTGAGAAAAAGTGTTTTAGGTATTCCTCAATAAATCTGGTTAAGCAATCTAGTGGATGAAAGTGATATTACAATTAACAAGGGAATTGGCTTGGGGTGATGTCTTCAGTAACTGCTCTAGGACTGTGAACTCTTAAGAATGTGATAATAGGAAAACCTCTGAGCTGTAATTTACTGAAATGGGAAGTTTTTTTGTTGTTGTTCATTTTTTATTCTTTTTAAGGTCTTACGAACTAACCCGGAAGGACCGATTATACAAAAACATAATTCGAATGCAGCACACACATGGATTCAAGGCTTTCCACATCCTCCCGCAGACCTTCCTCCTGCCAGCTGAGTACGCGGAATTCTGTAGTAAGTGCTTGGCTGGGAATGCCCCAGTCCTTGGCACCTGAACTTGGGCAGGTGCACCCCAGCATCTGCTTCCAGTTAACCATTCAATTGGTGCTTCTCACTTCCTTTAAGAATTTTTTTTTTTTTAGTTCTGTAGTGAAATAATTGCAGAGTTAACTTTGAGTCTGTTTTATTTATTTATTTTAAAAAGATTTATACATTTATTTTTATTGAAAAGTGAGATTTACAGAGAGAAGGAGATACAGAGAAAAAGATCTTCCATTTGCTGGTTCATTCTCCAAGTGGCTGCAAAGACTGAACCTGAGCCAGTGTGAAGCGAGGAGCCAGTAACTTCCTCCAGGTCCCCCATGCAGATGTAAGGTCCCAAGGCTTTGGGCCGTCCTCAACTTCTTTCCTACGCCACAAGCAGGGAGCTGGAAAGGAAGCCGGGTAACTGGGACATGGACTGGTGCCCATATGGGATCCTGGCGCATGCAAGACAAGGACTTTAGCCACTAGGCTACTGCACTGGGCCCAATGTTAGGGTTTAAAAGTGCTAGTTAGCTATGCGCTGTTTGCTTTGAATTCAGGATGATCAGTAAGTACACATGGAAACCAAATAGGAATTTGCCTTTCAGCTCTGTTGCTGAGAAAATGTCAGAAAAACGTATGACATAGGTCTAGATCTAGGTCTAAAACTGAATGCTGCTGCTTTTTTTTTTAATTAAAGATCTATGCATTTATTTGAAATGCAAAGTGACAGGCATAGAGGGTGAGACAGAGAGGGTCCATCTACTAATTCACTCCGCAAATCCCTGCGTTAGCAGAGGCTTGGCCAAGTTGAATCTAGGGACCAGGTCTTCCACTTGAGTACTGCGCCATCTTCTGCTTCTTTCCTGCATATTAGCACAAAGCCAGATAGGAGGCCGAGTAGCCGGAACTTAAACTGGCACTTTGGTGTGGGCTGCGAGCTCTGCAAGCAGTCGGTCCACCAGCTACTCCACTGTGCCAGTTGCTCCTTGCCTACTGGAAGAGACACTTGTAGAGACCCATCCCAGAGACAGCTGTCCGGAATGTGGGAGCCTGATGCTCGCCTAACTGTGCTCAGAGTGTTGGGGAGGGGATCCACACGCAGGACTGTCTAGGCTCTAGACTGTGGCCAGTTGCAGTGTTGAGTTGAAGAACCCATGAGTGTCCTGCCAATCCCAGTCGTTTGTTTCCACGGGCAGCCTTCTCAGGAGCAGGAGGGGGAGTCAGTGGGCAGTTCGGGGTGGCACCAGCATTATTGAAGAGTAGTTTTTCCATGGAAGTGTGTTCTCTGTGGCTGTCTCCTGTTACAAGACTGAGAGGTGATCATAAGGTCCAGCAGTCTGATGCCAGTTCAGTGTAGGTGATGATTTCTAAACCATCAGTAAATCTATAGGATAATTATTTAGGTTATAAGAGATCTTAGCTGTCAGACTAAACCTCCCACTTATTGTTTACTTATTCGAAAGAGTTACAGAAAGAGAGAAACATAAAGAGGAAGAGACAGAGATAGAGAGACCGTTGTATTTGCAGGTTCTCTTTCCATATGGTTGCACTAGCCAGAGCTGGGCTGATCAGAAGCCAGGAGCGAGAATCTCCTGTGTGAGTAGCAGGGACCCAAGCACTTGGGCATCTTCTGCAGCATTCCCAAGATGCATTAGCAGGAAACTGGATCAGAAGTAGAGCAGCCAGGGCTGGAACTAAGCAATGGCTTAAATCTACTGTGCCACAACGCTGGCCCATTAAAGCCCTGATCTTAACGATGGGAATAGATAGTATAAGCAAATCTCCTGTAGTGTCATTTTTGAAAAGCTAGAATTAGAACTCAGATTTCAGTACTCCCGATTCCGTGCTCTTTCTCTTGGATTGAGCTTGCTGCTGCTTGTGAGTTGAGAGGTCGTGGGCAGTGTTAGAGCACCTGCTGGGTGAAGGTGATCCTGTAGGCGTCAGCTGTGCCCTGATTCTTCTTGCTTCCTGCCCACCGTTTCAGGACTCATGAAAGAAAGTGATCCTTACTACATATCAGTCTCCACATGGCCACAACCCGTTGTGACCGGGATGAGCCAAAGACAGGGCCCTCTCCATCCCAAGATTCTCCAATATGCAAGGGTGGTAGGAGCCCACGTGTTTGAATTATCACTTGTTCCCTCCCAGAGTACACATTAGTAGGAAACTGGAATTGAGAGTGGATCTGAAACTTAAACTGAGGTACTCTGATAACACCGTGTGGATTTTCCACATTTTAGCCACTGCAGCAAATGTCCATCCTACTCAAAGAGCTTTTTTTTTTTTTTTTAGAATTTTCAATGGCATATGAGATTGGGCACATTTAGAGTGGTATAACCATATGGTGAGAGTTGGGGTGGAGGGAAGGGAGAAAGAGGTCAGATTTTAATCTGACTTGCCAAGTGGCTGTAACAGCCAGCTCTGGAACAGGCCAAAGGTAGCAACTGCATCTGACCTCCTGCATGGATAACAGGGACTCATCTCTGCCTTCCAAGGAATAGGAACAGGAAGCTGGATTGGAAGAGGCAGAAGTGGGACTAGAACTACAGTGGTGGCATAAGCTGTGTTTTGTTGCAGTGTCAGTTTTGTAAAGGTTTTTTGTTTTGTTTTGTCTTTCTTTGATTCTAATAAGTTGCAGCAAGGGAGAAGGCAGAGAAAGCTGGGAAAGAATGGACAAAGATTTTCTTTTTCTCTTCCTGGCAAATGCTTTGTGACATTGACAGGTCAGGTTCCTGTTGGGAGGTCATGAAAAGACTGGTCTATACCAGAGTGAGAGGAAAGAAAAGAAGGTAGCAGTTGCCAGCAAGTTGTCCAAGGAGAGGAGCTGAGCCAAGATTGTTCCTGTTGAAGGCCTGCTGGTGGGAATCCAAGTTTGTTGTTGGTAGAGGAGAGCTGGTGTTTTTATCCTGGGGAGGAAAGAAAGTGGCTGCACCCACAGGTGGGAGTACTGGCCTCTTAATCACTCAATCAGAAACGAGAGGAAACTTCTCTGCATTTATAGTGTTGTGTTCTGGACAAAATAGTGTGAATATCCAGATGCCTAGCAACATAGGCACTGAGGAGTAAGGAAGTCTTGCTGTGATCTTCTCAGAAACCTTTATGTTTCCCGAGCTCCCCATATACATCTGTGTTTCTCTTTATTTTTTAGTTTTTATGTTTTTAATTTTTTATTGGCAAGTCATACAGAAAAAAGGAGAGACAGAGAGGAAGATCCTCCGTCTGCTGGTTCACTCCCCAAGTGACTGCAATGGCTAGAACTGAGCCAATCTGAAGCCAGGAGCCAGGAAATTCTTCCAGGTCTCCCATGTGGCTGCAGGGTCCCAAGGCTTTGGGCCATCCCCAACTGCTTTCTCAAGCCACAAACAGGGAGCTGGAATGGAAGTGGAGCAGCTGGGATACAAACTGGTGCCCATATAGGATCCTGGTGGATGCAAGGCAAGGACTTTAGCCACTACACTACCTGTGTTTTCATTTTTTTTTAAATTATTGAACTATTGAAAGGCACATTCTCTCTCCCTCTCTCACTGTTTCTCTCTCTACCTCTCTCTCTCTCACACACACACACACACACACACACACACAAAGATTGACCCAACTGGCTACAGTGGTTCAGGGTTGACCATTTTGAAGCTGAGAGTCTGAAACTCCAGCCTAGTCTCCCACATGGGTCAAAAGAATTCAGGTACTTGAGCCATCAACTGACCTCCCTTACTGGAGGGCAGGACTCTTCTGCTTTGCAGGTGCATTAGCAAGGAGCTGTATTGGATACAGGTTAGCTTGGGTTCCTGTTGTTACTCTTATAACTTGGGATACAGTCGTTGTAGGAAGTGACTTACTTAACTCTGCACCACAATGCTGGCCTCCCCCTACATTTATGTTTTTAAAAGATTCCTTTTTAATTTAAAAAATTTAGTTGAAAGAGACAGGGAAACATACATCTTCCATGCACTGATTCACTTCCCAGATGCTTGTAGCAGCCAGTATACTGAAGCCATGGGTATGAAGCGATGGGTGGCAGGGACCCCAGTACTTCAGCCATCACCCATTGCTTCCCAGGGTACAGCTTAGCAGAAGGCTGGATCAGCAGCTGAGTAGCTGGGATTAGGATTGAGCACTCGGATCTGGGATGCAGCCATCTCAAGCAAGTCATGTCTTAACTGCTGTACCAAACACACATACCTGTCTCTTTTTTTTAGAGGAGGAAAAGAGCAAATAAACAAATATATGAACTTCAGATTTTCCTCTTTCTTTCTCCCCTGCTTTGAGATATAACCACTGGCACTGCCTGAGGTGTTTGATCAGACTGAGAGTGAATTATGAGTTGACATCCCTGAAGTGGAGGGCAAGACCTTCCTCTCCCTGGAGTACCTGGAAGGCTTTGCGCATCTTCCTGGCAGCTGTCTGGTTTTTGTTCTCGGGATCCATTGTGAAGCTGAACCCGGGGAGGCACAGCAGCAAATGACACCTGTTGCTTGGATTCCTCTTCCTCTCTCCTTGTGCGTTGCTGGGTTTCAGGCAGTTGTGTTCTTCTAAGCTGAGGAGAGTAAGTATAGTTAGAGGTCTAGCTTTGCACTGCTTGCTTGAGGTTCTGTAGGTAACCCAAGTGAAGATTTCAAAGATCCATCAGGGATGTTTGTGAGGGTTGTAGACTGTCACCTGGTGCACATTGTTAACTTCATTTACATCCTGTTGTTCAGCGGAGTGGGGAAAGGGGGAAGAAGTCACTCTGTATGATTTACTGTTTTCTTTCCTCTTCCTCGGTCTTTCCCTCTTTATCTCAAAGCCTCCCAGCCTGTGTTTATTTTTAAGCCTCATCTGAATACACAGGTAATTCCAGCTGCTGCACTCCAGTTAGAAACTTGAAAGATTCTTTTAGCACCCCTGTTAGATAACCAGTGTTGGAATGGTACGTAATAAACTCACGTTTTTTTCTTTGTTTCTCTCACTTTCTTTTTTGTCTCCCAATGTTTTGAGCAGATTCATATTCAAAGGACCGGGGACCTTGGATAGTAAAACCAGTGGCCTCTTCCAGGGGCCGGGGCGTCTACCTGATCAACAATGTGAGTACGTGGCCAGGGATGAACCTGCCATGCATGTGGTTTCTTTCTGTTAGGAGCAGGTGCTCCCTTCTGAACTCTGCACTCGCAAGTGTGCGGAGGTCACATGCTAGTTTCCTGTTATTCGGCTTACCAGCCCTGCCAACAGTTAGCACCCTAGCCCTAGAGTGACAACATTACTGGGTCACATTTGGAGGGAGGGAGGCCTTTTGAGTCAGCAGGAAGGAGGGACTTTCCCTGTCTTCAACCTGTTGTCAGATTAAGTCCTTAGCAGGAAGTGTTGATTGGCAGCCCATCCATCTCCAGGTTGCCAAGCAAATTAACCTTCATTTGGGGAGGCGACCTTGTGGCTGCTGCGGCCACATTTCTAGCTCCCTCCTTCCTTCTGCTCCATTTCCTCATCTTCTATTTTCAAAAGCTGCCAATATCTTGGTAGTTTGCAGAATTCTTATTAAAAGTTGTTTTTTTTTTAATTTTTAAAATTTTTTGAAGATTTATTTATTTATTTTTTTTATTGGAAAAGGACTGATAGAGAAGGTCTTCTGTCTGCTGGTTCACCCCCAAATAGCCACACTAACCAGAGCTGAGCTGATTCAAAGCCAGGAGCTGGGATCCTCTTTTGTGTCTCCCACATGGATGCAGGGTTCCCAGGGCTTGAGCCGTCCTCGACTGCTCTCCCAGACCACAGGCAGGAAGCCAGATGGGAAGTGGAGCAGCCGGGACGTGAACTGGGGCCGATGTGGGATCCTGGGGCTTGCAGCTGGAGGATTACTCCATTGAGTCATCTTACTCACCCCTACCTTTTGTGTTTTGTTTTGTTTTGTTTTGTTTTCTTTCTGAAGTTGATTTTAAATGGAATAGGTATACACTGTGAAGAAAATCAAATCCAAACTCTAGTCCCAGTCTAGAGTTGGAACAGTTCGACAAGCTTTGCCCCCAGAGCTCCATCCTCAGGTTTGCAAAGCCCCTTAGAGTGTTGGGGAGGCTGCTGGTGGGTTAGTCACCCGGTTCTCGCCCCTGGGCTCAGCCGTGGGCTTTGTGTTCATGGCCTGTGCAGTCTGGCAGTGGCCCCCTTGGGATGCCTGCTCTCCCTGCTGAGGTTTGGGGCTTGGGTTTGCTCTGCTCTGCTTTGCTCATTCTGATCCCATCTGCTTTCTGTCTTTCAAGATTTCTTTAAAGTGTTGGTCTGTTCTGGCTCCTTTTGCTTAAAAATTTTTTGAGCTTTGTTATCATTTTGTTCCTTTGAAAAACTCTTTTCCATTCTTCCACTGGCATTTGGGGAGGGCAGGGTAAGTAGATCCATGTGCCTGTGGCCAGTACTGCATCTGAAATTCCCCAGTTATCTTTTCACATTGAGGTATTTCCTACATATGCAGAAACGAACTTTCAGCGGAGGCGGGGGGGTGTTCTTTCACGTTGGAATTTTCTTAAATTCAGTCTGGACTTGAAATGGTCTGGTAAACAACAAGGACCAGGCCTTTTCATACTAAATAAACATAGGGCCTGGCCTGATACAGCAACTCCTGCTGCAGCCTCAGATCCACCAGACCTGTTACCTGGGGCCCTCCGGAGGCCTGCCCCTGCTCTCCCATGGCACAAGGCTGCCAGTGCACCCTGCTTCACTCTCTTCCCTGGGCTGTGCTCTGACCTCGGCATGGCGGCTGCTGCAGCCCAGCCTTGCCTTGAGCCCTGTGCCAGGAGTCCTAGTGTTGTTTGAATCTTGGAGACGGCACTCACTTGGGTACTTTAGCTGCCAGATGGAACTGAGATGGAAAGTGACCCATTGTACACGTTTGCTTTGTATTTTCTTAGACATGAGTCAAACAGAGTAGGATCTATTCCCAGTTCATCTGGACAGTTTTCTCTCTTGGAATGCTCGCTGGTCTTCATGATTTTCTGTTTGAAAGTGAACATCCCAAAGGGCAGGAAAGTGAAATTTTCCTTGGTGGAGCTAAGAACGTGGAACCCTGACTCCTCATTGTGGCACTGGTTATCCAGGGCGGCTCAGAAAGGCGGCGACTTGTCTTTGCAGAATACACATTGGCAAGCTGTGTAAGACCGTCTTTCTTCCGCCTTTCCTGTGCTGAATCCCCTAAACCCACCCCCAACTACCCCCAGTAGATCGGAGTAGTTGGAAGGACCTTTGCCTCTCCCTGTTTCCTTCCCATGAATCCCTGGAATGAATCTGCTTTTTTTTTTTTTTTTTTTTTTTTAAGGTATTTAGTGGAGGTGCCAGACAGAAGCCTGGGAAGATGCCAACAGACAGGAGGGGAGCTGGCAGCATGTGGACATAATGGGCAAATATTCCCTTTTCACCCCAAAATGAATTCTATCACCTTTTACCCAGACTTACAAATGGTGTAGTTAATACTCGTCTCTCTCTCTCTCCCTACACAGAAGGCCTAACCATCCCCTCTTTTCTATACCTGGCTCCTTTCCCATGGAATATGTGACCCATTAGCCAACTGGATGAAGTAACTCTTTCCATGGCTGCTGCCTGCTTTCATAGTTGAGGGGGAGGGAGGGAGAAAGAGCTCAGGCAGGGGTCTGTGAGCAGAACCCGCCACGAGTGGGTGAGGGACTCTGGCAGGGGGCCGGAATGAAGAGTGAGGGCCAAATGAAAACATCTTCCCCTGCCTTCATGCTGCAGTGGGAGGGCCTCTCATTAACACTTCACTGGAATAGTTGGAACTTTCCCGACCATATCCCCCAAAGCAACGTTTAGCATTACAAGACCAAGGTAAAGGATTGCAGAAAGAACCCAGTGTCTGTGACAATGCAGGGAGAAGTGTGATCCCAGGAATGGGAGCTGTTCTGTTGCTGCCTGACATGGCTTCTTCCAGGTGCATTCTTAAACTCTAGAATGCGACCAAAGACAGCAAAGCTGTGTAGGCTGCAGCTCCTACAGTAAGCGTGACCAAGTGCCATGTTTTCCCAGCTTAGTGCATTCAGATTGAGGAGGGGGAAGATCTGGTGTTCTCTGAAGTATGAGTTGGATTATGGGAGTCAAGTTCAGTCATCCTTGTCTCACCTCTTCTCTGTGTTACACATAGTTGTCCATATGCTCCTAGAGTTAGGGACTAAATGGTAAAGCTGTAGAAGAAAAAGACACTTTGGGCTGTACATTTGTAATATATGTAGAAAAGGGAGTTAAAGACCAGTAATATTACCTACATAATGGGTTTATGTTGTGCATCCTGAAAGGACAAGTGTGTGCAATGAGGAAGGGAAGAGAGGAAACACTTCTGGGCCTTTTGTATCTCATGGGATGGGAACCGCTCCCAGAGTCTTGCTCCCAGGAAAGTTGAGTGATCATCTGTTTCTGTTGCAGGCCATAGGCCTTACTCAGTAGGAAAAGGCTGCAGTTGTTTAATTTAGCTTAGTGCTATGTTCAGTGATTGCACAATTCTCACCCACTAAGCCGACTCAGAGTGGTTGTATGTGCCGTCATGAAGTGGATGAGAGCCAGGTGTGGATGTGGATGGCTGCATCTGTTGGCGGTGAATCAGTTCTGATGCATGGTGTCCCTAAGATGCATCAAGATGGGTTATTAAAGTCGTGTTCTGATGGGGAGATATCAGTAGCAGAAAGTGAGAGGAACGTGTTCGTTACCCTAATTTCAATACCTGTTCATTGTGGCGGCGGGTGGTGTTATGGTCACAGATTATCCCTATTTTAGGGACAGCCATAATGCACTTAGGAAATGCATTGTCACAAAATCAAGCTTTCTAATTTGGAGGACAATTCTAGATCAGTGTACTAAGAGAGGTATGAGTAGTGCCTGAAAGAGAAGCCTCTGGGATCCCAGGCTCATAATTATCTAACCTCATGAGTTTTCAAAGCTGTTTGGACTGTAATTGTTATGTGAGAGATGCAATGTAAATTTGTTTTCTCCCTATTGTAATTGGATGCCCGTGGTGTTTATGGAAGTGATACATTAACGTGTCTAACTGGATATATTGATACCTTGGAGGAAAACTTGCCTGAAGTTGTAGTTTTCCACACTGTTGTTTCTTAAAAGATTAAGAACTTTGCTTGTCTACCCTTTCTTTCTTTCTTTTTCTGCTCGATAGCCAAACCAGATTTCCCTGGAAGAGAACATCCTGGTCTCCCGTTACATTAGCAACCCCCTGCTTATAGACGGTGAGTTGTAATTATGGGCTGTATTTTTGCTAAACTTTTCAACCTTTCCACACAGTCTCCTCTTGTAAATCTTTATTAAACTTGTGTGCAGTTCTGGGAAGCTGTGGCTGCCGCAGAGGTGAGGGTGGTTCCTTCCCTAGCTCATGGGGAATGACGCGCAGGTTGAGCATCCAGAGTGCTCCCAAACCAGAATGCTCAGAGAGCTGACATTGTGCCACAGACAGAACATTGCCTGTCGGACTCCATGCAGTGAGTCCCAGAGAAAACACAGGCTCACTGAAAATTATATAACAGTGTCTTTAGACTGTGGGGAGGATGTGTATGGAACAGGAATGAATTTTGTGTTTGGATCTGAGGTCTCCTCCCGTATCTTGCTATATGAGTGCAGATAACTCCAAAGCCTGAAAAAACAAAAATAAAACAAACAAACAAATAAAAAAAAAACCCTTGTGGTCCCAAGCATCTCAGACAGGAGAACTCAATCTGTAGCATAGGAGTGCTTTATTGACTGCACAGGAATTGGTATCTGTGAATCCTGTCCAGGATACATATAATAATACTTTATATAATACACATGGTATGTACATTATCATGTAAGGCACACTATGTCATACATCACACTATATCATTCTAACAGTGTGAAGCATGTGGGTATTGTGTGTCTCTTGCAGAGAGGAACTTTTTTTTTTTCCTTTCCTGTGTCTTAGTTATGTTGCCCTGCCCCTTTGCAACAGAAAACAATGCACTTACTTTTTGCTGTGATGCTAAACCATTTTTTTTTTCCAGAATTCAAGTTTGACGTACGCCTGTACGTGCTCGTGACTTCCTATGATCCTCTGGTCATCTATCTCTACGAAGAAGGACTGGCTCGGTAAGAGAGCGTGTTCTGGGTAGAGGGGACAGGGCGCTGTGCTAGAGTGGACACTTGAAGCCTGCTCAGCTCAGAGGTATTTTGGTTTTGTTATGTCGGGAGGCTATTGAAGGCTCAGCTAAACTCCAGATGACAGAAAGCAAGATTGTATGCTGTGCAGTGTCATTTGCATGCACACACATTGTGTCAGCACCCCTTTCCCAGCGGGTTCTGTGATCACAGTAGCTGCTGTCTTCCTGGGATGATGACAGTTGTTACAAAGACCTAAGTCATTAAGTCGCCATTATTTGCTTTGTTGATGTTGTGGGTGTATATATATATTTTGGTTCTGTTTTGTTTCATTAGAGCATCTGTAGCAGGAACACTGAATATTCCACACTTACTTACCAAGTTACATACCAAGTATTTATTTTCGTCCTCATAGCTGATACATGACTGCGCTTAAGGCTCCTGAGACGTAGAAGGGAGGAGACCCTCAGTCCGGTGCGTCAGGGATTTGAATCCTGAATCTAACCATTTCATGCCCTCTCATATTTAGAGGATATTGGCTACTTTTTTTTAAGATTTGTTTATTTGTTTTTATTACGAAGTCAGATATACAGAGAGAAGGAGAGACAGAGAGGAAGATCTTCTGTCCAATGATTCATTGCCCAAGTGACCGCAACGGCCGGTGCTGAGCAAATCAGAAGCCAGGAACCAGGAACCTCTTCCGGGTCTCCCCCGCGGGTGCAGGGTCCCAAGGCTTTGGGCTGTCCTCGACTGCTTTCCCAGGCCATAAGCAGGGAGCAGGATGGGAAGTGGAGCAGCTGGGATTAGAACTGGCACCCATATGGGATCCTGGCACATTCAAGGTGGGGACTTTAGCCGATGGCCACGCCGCCGGGCCCTACTTTTTTTATTTCTTAGCTTGTAAGTTACATACTTTCCAGTGGCCATTTAAGCTTTAATTTTTCTTGAGGTGGTTTTTAACTTTTACAATAATGTAGTTTGTAAAAATAAGTTCAAGTTATAATGACTTAAAGTTTTGTTTCCCATATCTACAGAATTTTATATGTAAGGGTGGTTTTTTTTGGTTTGGTTTTGTTTCCAAACCCTTTACATTGCTTAAAATCAGTACATGACTTTGCTATCCCTGTTATTTTTATTTTTCCTGTGCAAAACTAATTTTTCCCTGCCCAGCAGTCTATCCTGAAGTTTTGTTTACGTATAGTGGCCTTGATGTCACCCAGCCCAGCAGTTTGGGAGGTGGCTGTCCTATCTGAGCAGGCATGACAAGTGAAACAGCATGGTCTGTGTCAGTTTATGCCACCGTGTTTTGGAATGGCATCTTAATGGTCTCACGTACCAAATTTTTGGGTTCAAATCCTGTGACTCTCAAATGCAGAGGGAGAGAGCCGGTCAACCAGATCTTCCTGGGGGTTGAGCTGTGTCTCCCATTCACCTCTAGGTGGCAGTGGCTGCATTTTTAAGCTCTGTCTTAGCCTGACTAGGTATGTTTGATCCCTGGAAACACTGGCTGCCCCCCAACCCCCAAGCCTCCAAGTCCGGGCTGCCTGTTTTCTGAACATTGAACCTGGGGAGAAGGACTGAACATGTTCTGGTTGTTGTAAAAGGCCAGACCAGGCATCTGAGCTTGAAGTAACCACCAGCTCTCATCAGGTTTTCGTAGCAAGAATATTCTCCATAGGCTCTGCAATGTGAATTGTGGATAGACAAAACTGGATGTAAATGCCTAGGTATTATTTTAGATAGAATCCAGAGGAAAGGGAAGGTAAAATGTACCCCCTGGCTTCTGCCCAGGTCTCTCAGATGCCGAGGATCTCCCATCCTGAGCCTCTCTTCCATCCTCCATGCACCCTGATCCTGCCTCAACTCCCAGCGTCACCTGGGAGCTGATTATGATCTGCTGCATGCTAGGTTGCTGAAAAAGAGAAAAGGTTTTGAGGTTATAGCTCCCAGGCACTCCAGGTTAACCAACCAATGAGTTTGGCGTGATATTCAGAGATCCTTCACCCCAATATCCGCAGCCCTATTTATGGGTTAAATGTGGCACAGTTTTAAGGGCTTCACATTGAAAGCTGTACAAACATTTACTGTACAAGTTACTTTTCTTTTTAAAGATTTATTAATTTTTGCTGGAAAGGGATTTACAGAGGAGAGAGGAGGAGAGACAGAAAGATCTTTCATGCACTGGTTCACTTCCCAAATTGCCAGAGCTGAGCCAGTCCGAAGCAGGAGTCAGGAACTTTTGTTAGGTATCCCATGCGGGTACATCGTCTCAAGGCTTCGGCTGTCCTCTACTGCTTTCCCAGGTCACAAACAGGGAGCTGAATGGGAAATGAAGCAACTGGGGTATGAAGTGGCACCCATATGGGATGCCAGCGCTTGCAAGGGGAGGATTAGCCAATTTTGAGCCATCACACTGGGCCCTATTATACAAGTTTATGTAGTCATGCTAGTGCTCCACCTATCAGTTTGTATTGAGTTACTGAATTGAGTAACTCCTTTTGCTGACAGCAGGAACTGTTTCAAAATTCACATTTCTACATGTTGCTTATGTGCACCTACACATGCATATAGTGACTCAGTGGATGCTTTTTCTCCAAATAATTATGAAAAAACTTTAGAAACCCAAACTAAATTGAACCCAACACCACATTTTATTTTCAGCTCTTTGGGGAGGTTTCCCTGCAAGTAAGAGTGAGTGGTAGAGCTTTGGGATGGCTTTGCTGTGGGCTGGCACAGGGTGTGGGGCTGGCTGCTTGCTGGAACCCTGTGAGCACAGTGTGTTCCGTGCAGTGACCTCACTATGCCTCTGTTCCTTCTTCTATACTCATGTGTGTCTCACATCACCCTGCATCTTTTTTGCCACCAGCGTCTGCCAGACTGTGTCACTACCTTGGGCAGTGGCCTCTAGCCACTCGCATCTGTGTGTCCAGTAAGTGTGGTCCACCTGTGTTGTGTGTGGCTTGGACCAAAGAGAACCAGTTCAGGAGGTCACTGGGCCAGTCACTTGAGAGGTTTCAGGAAAACCATCATCTTGCCTGAAGAGCTGGAATTGGAGGCCCTCAGTATTAGCCTCCCTCTTTGGAAAGAAAGGTTTTTATGTGCCAGCATTTTGGGCCTCAGATTAATGCAAGGAGGTAGGCAGATGAAGTTTCTTTTACCAGAAGTTCTCATGTATAAATTCTTTACCTCTTTACAGATTGCTTTGTATGTGGGTTCAGCTGTTCTTGCTCTGTTCACAGCAAAAGCGGGAGCTGTCTCGTGTTTTATCCTTTGTGTCTGAACTGTTGAAGAGGGGGCAAAGTGAATTGCCTTTTGGGGATTCAGGTCCCAGCCTCTTCGGGGTCCTGCAGGAGGGCCCTGAGCAAGGCTTTGTTTTTGAATTTCATGTGTATGTGTGTTGCTGTTTTGCACCAGCAGAGGACACTCAGCCTCCAGACAGGGGTGCCACTGAGCTCCACCAAAATGGTGATGGTTCCTCTTCCCGTGAGGAATAGAACCCAGAATGACTCTGGATTTTACAGTCATTAGGTGGACCCAGTATTGGGTTGAAATGATTTGACACAACACTCTTTTTGAGACAGGGCTGATAGCCAACTTTTCACTGAATTAGGAAAAATAAAAAGTGTAAAAAAAAAAAATCCAAAGAAAATTGAGTTGAAAACCAAATGTGTTGTCTGAGACCCAAAGAAAGGTGTAAGTGGCAGTGTGGGGGACACATGGGAGCCCGTGCAGGGAGCTGAGGGCCCGTCCTCAAGGTGGGGATGGGAAGAGAGGGCTCCAGAAGGTCCCGGGCAGGCCTGCCCTTTCTCGGCCTGGAAACTGGGCAAGGACCCCAGAGTGTTGGTCATGCGCCTGCCTGTTCCCCACCCCCAGTTCCTTCTTCAGTAGCCCTCCTTGCTAATTAACACTGGCTCCGCAGGGATATTTACCTTTTCTCCGCTGGATTCCTGTGGTTTAGAAAGAATTCAGGTACTTGCTGGTTGCCAAGGAATTCAGATTACCTCACAGGCTGCACACGGTCCAGATTCTGCCACAGCAGCAAGTGGCGAGGGGTGGGGGTAGACACCGGAGAGAGAGGAATCCCTCTGCAGCGCTCATTGCCACCCGCCCTGGCAGGCTGTGGCTGTTTGTGCAGTTTGAGTCATATCTTCTGGCTCTCAAGACAGAGGATCAGGCTGGTAATCCCCTCCCAGACGGCTCTGTAGGGCGCTGCCCCGTCACTGCAGTGCCTTGGCAGTCTCCTCCTGCAGCTGGTTGACAGCAGATCAGAGAGCTCGTGGGCCTCTCACCCTCTCCCCTAAGATCTTTCTGGGTCAGGCCAAGATGAAACCCAGTGGCTGCTGGCAAGGCTGATGGAGGTGCTCTCTCTTCATCATCCAGGCCTCACTGACTCGAGTGGCTGCACCTGCTGAAAGATAACCTGTGTGCAGCCGCCAGGGGCTCCTGATGTCTAGTGCCACCTTTTCTTCATATGTTTGTAGTGAATGTTCATTAGAAAATCCAACTACCCAAAACTGCCGCACTTTCCAACAGCTAGACTATCTGTAACGAGAAAGTAGGTGTCGGGTTCTTAGAGGGACAGGGGAAGAAAGGCCAGCAGATCTGTAACTGGGCTTCCCTTCTCCCCATGGTTCTGTAATGGCAGTAGCTTTGGAGCAGGTGCAATTCAGAGGCTTTTTTGGTTAACTCTTAAATTCCTACTATGGACACTCCGCTCATGACAGGATTGTGTTTCTGGAAGTCCACTGCCAGCTGGAAACCCACTGGCCATCCTAGCTCAGCAATGCAGTGCCTCGGGGGAGGGAGTGTTCGTAGTTTCCCCTGTGACTGCAGGGCTACTGTGGATCTCACGTGCTGCTGCTACCCCACAGTGTGAGAAAATATTGTGCTGCGTGTTGCTGGCTCAGGAAACATCAACATTCTCCTGGGTGTGTGTTGTTTTTGCACTGTCGTGAAATGGGAAAGTTGTCGGTTGAACCATCTGTAAAGGCTTAACATTCGAATCCTTTCTTCTTACAGATATTCCAAGTTTAGACAGGTTGTTATCAAGGTCATCATTACCAGTGAGAATCTAGGCTGCAGTTTCAGAATTTATTGTCAGAATATAGGTGTAGTCAGAATAAGAACAGTCTGTATTTGTTTTCAGTGTTTTAAAAAATCGTCTGTGTATATGTGTATTGTTCTGTCTTCATGAGTAAGCTGCAAAGTAGTGCCCAGGGTTTCAGACTGAGCACAGAAAGCAGCCTCTTCATGGAGTCAGAGTCAAAGCTGTGCAGTTCCCTTGGGAGAGCTGTCCTCAATGCTGATCTGGTTAGGAGGCAGGTTGAAGACCCAGTGCATGACATGAATGTCAGCCTCCCTTAAGATGCATGTTTGCAGACTTGCTTCTGGGGCGTCTAGTAAAGGGGCAAATCTCTGGCATTGTTGGTAATGAAGCAAATGTGTGGAAGCTTTCAGACTTAAATAAGGTGAAATTTGATAACAGGTGCAAGTCTAGGTCAGAGGTGACACAGCTGAGTGCTCACAAGTACATTTGCTGAAGAGCGTTGGCCAGGTGGAAGAGGGAAGCTGAAACACCCGTGTCCCGCCTAAGGACGTTCTCTGTTCATTACTAGCCAGTCACTGATGTTGGCATTGCCAGGCCTCCTGGTTTTGGGAAGGCGGTGGAACATGTGGGTTTTTATTCATCCTGTATCCACAAATCCTGTTCTAATAGTGTCTGTAACGAAAGGATCCAATCAAGGCACCCGTGTTAGATGCTGATTTACCCAGGCCCTTTAGTCTCCTCCATTCTAGGTGAATCTTTTTGTCTTTCCTGGATTTCTGTGACCTTAGCATTTTTGAAGACTACAATCCGGTCATTTTGTAGGTTGTATCTGTATTTGGAGAGTTTCTCATAATTAAGCCCAGTTATGCATTCTTGTCCTGGAGACATCGCAGAGGTATTGCTAATTCTTCTTGATGTGTTGTATCTAGTGGCATGTGTTAGCTTTTAATAGTGTTTGGCTACTTGATTAAAGTGATGTCTTCTTTAATCTTCTACCGTAAAGTGACTTTGTCTTTCATTTGTAATGAGTGTTTTATGAGGAGATAGTTTGAAAGCAAGTAAAATCTTATTCTTTATCTCAATTTCAGCCTGTTTCTGGCTAAAATGAATTACTGCGATAATGGTTGCCAAATGATGATTTTGTAATCTTTAGTTATTTGACATTTTACTCTCAGGGAGAACTTTCTGCTCTTCTACTTATTTATTCATTTATTTATTTATGCCAATGACTTTGAGGATTCCTTTTTGACTTAATGGGATATAACCCTGTCCTAGCATGATTCTCCCAGATTTTCCCACATTTGGCCAATGGGAGCCCCTTTAAGTTGGGTTTTATGTCTTTCTGACACATCCCCATCATTCTTTGAATACAAGATGTTTCAGGCTCAGTTTGTTCTTTCTCTGACCCAGCCCTAGGTTCAACCATTTCTCTAAGGAACACTGTTTGCCTTTTAATGGAGAATAGCATTTAGAAATCAAGATCAGAGTGTTAGATAAGTCCTGTTCTGGAGGCATCTCTCAGAGCGACAAAATACACAGATCTAGGAAATGTGCATGTGCGTGTAGGTGCATGTACACATGCACATTTATATATGTGTTTTTATATTCATCTGTGTTGAAAAGCAGACACCTATACTAGCACCTCCAACTGTAGCCCAAACCTATGGTTTAGGGCCAGCCCAGTGGTTCAGCTGGCTGGTGTTCTGCCTGTAAGCACTGGCATCCCATATGGTGTCGGTTCTTGTCCTGGCTGCTCCATTTCCCTTCCAGCTCCCTGCTTATGCCCTGGGAAAGCAGTGGAAGATGGCCCAAAGCCTTGAGATGCTACACATATGTGGGAGACCTGGAAGAACGTCCTGGTTCCTGACTTCAGATTGGCTCAGCTCTGGCCATTGCAGCCATTGGGGGAGTGAGCCAGCATATCATTTCTGTCTTCCCTTCTATCTGTAAATCTACCTTTTCAACGTAAACAAATAGATCTTTAAAAAGTTTAAAAAGCCAAACTATGGGTTCTTTCTAGTTTCCCCCTTTCTCTCTCTGTCCTCTCTTTCTTTATGTGTGTGGTGTGTATCTCCTTTTCAATAGTGAAAAAATCTACCTCCTGTTATCTGCAACTATTGATTTATTTATCCAGTTCCCTTGAATGTAATCAACCTTGACCCTGCTGAGCCACTGCCATGCTTAAATCACCTCCATGTACTACCTCCAAGCTGTCTTCTTACCCTCCCTGTCATCATCCTTTTATGGGACCTGGCTGTCATTGGGAAGGTCTCATTTTTTAGTGCTGGTCAAGTAATTAAATTTTTTTTAAAAAAGCTATTTATATTTTAAGAAGCTATATATAAAATATATGTATCTATACATATGTATATATGTGTGTATGTACACACACACTGACCAGGGCCGGAACACATGGAAGCCAGGAACCTAGTATCCAGGTCTCCCATGTGGGTAGTTGGGCCCCAGGTACTTGGGTCTTCTGCCGCTTTTCCAGGAAACCAGATCAGAAGTTGAACAGCTGGGACTTGAACCACGACTTTGCTATAAGATATTGGCATTGCTTCACTCAGTATTTCCTAGTGCTGACATTAATAGTCTTTCCTTGCTGGGATTCAGAATAAAATGTCCTAGTCAAAAGGAAGATTTAAGAAGAAGAAAGGTGATTTTTTTTTTTTTTTAAAGAATAGCTCTCTTGGAAGGACAAGAGTAATGACAAATGTGTTGGGTACCAGATTCCAGCTTACCTCGCACTCTTGCCAATCTATTCATGTTGACCAAGTTGTAAGAGATGAAAAGCCTCTTGGAATAGGACCTTCCCTCTCCCTCTCATTCTTGTTGGGGAGAGGATCGTGGTAGGTTTGTCACTGGAATGCTGCTGTCTGGTGACACAGGCCACCTCCAGGAGACCAGCATGGGCTGTTTGCATTTCACAAGAATTCAGGGGATGGCTGCTTTCCACCTGCTCCAAAATTCTCCGTAGGAGAAAGATAGGGATGTGTAGGCTGGGTTTACTCATGGCAGAGTGGAAGGCTGCAAGTTAAAAAATGACAGCTCCTAAAGTTTCTGGAAAAATCTTCGATTCTTCTCAAATGTAGACACAGTGCTCCTTAAACTCTTGTTCTTCTGCCGTACATGCATGGTCAACATTTCTTTTTGTCCACATCCTTTCTCCTGGCCTTGTGTTTGTTTATTTTAGTGTTTTGGGTTTGGATTTTTTTTTTTCTCACTTGGCTTTCTTTGGCTGTTGTGTATTTCTGTTACAGGGAATTAGGGAGCGGAGATAGTGGGTGGGTGAGAAGAAATAGAGAAGAGGAAAATTTTAAATGCTGACCTTTAATGTGGTAAAAATTCATGTTGACTTCATAGTCTGGGTAAGCATATGTAAATAATTTGTAAATCATATGAAAATAAACTTGTGGCCTTTCAGTTTTTTTTCACACACTTTGGATATGCCTCTTGGGAAAAGCACTTTAGGGAAGGGTGATATGGTAATAGTGGTATGTAAACAGGGGTTGATATTTACCATCATCATTTGCCTCAAGTGTCCTTGTGTTGATATTGAACATCACTGGAAAGTTTTCTTTCTCTAGTGACTTCCTCTAGAGGAACGTAGATTTTATACTTTGGTCTTCTTTTGACAGTAGTCCAGGATATTCCATTGCTGCTCTGTTTTCAGTGGGCTCTGTGTTTAATCCCTCTCTTTTGCCTCCTCGCCACAGGCAGGGACTAGGCTCTTGTGCTGGGCCCCTCGTGTTCATGTTGTTCTGTATTATCTGCTGTTCATGCTGCCATATCTGTTCTTATACAGAAAATCTTATGAGCTAGTTCTGTTCTCTTAATAGATGAGAGTTCTAATCCTACATATTGCTGTTCTGTTCCCCCGCCCGCTGGAAATTTCTGTTTAATTTTATTAGCCAGGCACAGTGTAGACTCTCAGGAGGTGTTTCTTGGCCAGGGAATGCCTGCGCCATCATCCACAGCCTTGTGCACACTGTTCATTCCCCAGGTTGTGAATCCTCTGAGTTTTCATCTTCCTGTCTGTGTATGGTTCTGTATAAGACCATCAGTTTTGGAATCAGGGTGAACTTGGGAAAGTTGCTTAATCTTCCTCAGTCACTTTTAGTGTTGACAAAATCTGTCCTCAAAATGAACTCTGACATTATGTATTTTATAGGATTGCTATAGGAGGTAGGGGCACTCCACGTCTGTTAGTGACTGGTGTCAGTGCCCGGTTTTGTTCTGCGCCACCTTGAAATCCTGTGCCTAGCATTTAACCTCTGTCCTTTCCATCAGGTTTGCCACTGTGCGTTATGATCAAGGAGCCAAGAATATTCGGAACCAGTTCATGCACCTGACGAACTACAGTGTGAATAAGAAGAGTGGAGACTATGTCAGGTACTGGCCCTGCCTGAGCCTGAGATCAGGGAAGTCAAGTTCAGTTGTATGTCATAGAGGCAGAAAGGTAACACACTGCACTGGAGAGTGTTTTAAGAGTTACAACATGCACGGGGCAGCTGTGGGGAGCTGTGGCAATGGGACGTTGTTTTGAAGTTCTGTGGTTCCTCTTGCTTGTTCAGTTGTCATGTCACTGCTTCTCCCAGAGTTGTGTCTTGGGCATTGTCTCCCTTCACTTTTGACTTAGGGGTGGGGATTTAATAGACATTTGGAACTTTTTAGAAAGCAACAAATGAGGTCATTTCAGTGCTTGGCAAAACAGCCAAAGTTTTAAACTTTCTTGCACCCTTGGATCCAGCCATTCCATTTCTAGGAATGTAGCCTTAAGAAATAAAGGGTGCATACACAGGACTCAGAGAAAGAACACTTGTTATTCTGTGCTGGGGGGGGGGGTGTGGAAGAATTGCGTGACCAGGAAGCATACGTGGCTTAATTTTTTACTTAAATCTGTGAGATACCTAAAGCTGTTTATTTTTGCGGACAGTGGAGGAAATAGAAGACTATGATATGTACCAAAATGTTAACCATGTGTAGCCATAGTGGGTGAGGTTGTGTTCTTTGTTTTCTCCTGTGTGCTTTTAGATTTTTTTTTTCTAAAACAAAATGCGCTTATGAGCAGGGGAATAAAAGAAAAAAATTAAGGAAAGAAATGAGGCCATCTCAGAAAAGGATCCTGTGGAAAGGAGTAACAGCCCAGCTGTGTGGAAATATTCTTTGCTCTGTTTTCTTTCATCCCAATAATTTTGCCACAAAGTGGAAAAATAGAAAAGAAACCCAAACAGTTCCTTTCTACTCAGACTAAAAATAGGCACCTAACAGGTCCAAGGGAAGACGGCAAAGGCAGCAGTGTGGAAGTGATTGAGCAGTTGCTGAGGCCACATAGATTTCATTAAGTGTCCTGTGACCTGTAGTTGAATCGGTTAAACAGCAAAAAAGTGTGATTGGTGGAGGCTGGGCTGTGGCAGGGAATGAGGGGGCAGTTGTATAATGCAATTTCCAGGTTGCAAGACACCCCGAGCCCCTATGGCGGGTGGTCTGCCCATTGGCCGCTCCATGGCTATGGCAGAGGTTTGCTTCACTCTCACTGTTGTTTTAGGCTATTTCCCCTTCCAAAGCCATCAGGAAAGCCGTGTCTACCGCCCAAAGAGGAGGCAACTTGCTTCTGGTGCTAAAGCAATTCCATGTGGGATCAGCATATTAAAATCCTCTGCTGTCTTAGCACACTAACCCAGCTCAGTTCCATGCTGGTCTCAAAGTGGGTATTTTATCGACCCCTGTGACATTTATCTTAAATGCTAACTCTGTGTCCCCCAAATATTTCAATCTGCTCATTTATTTTAACTTTTTAAATTTGTTTACATTCTTCCACTGGTTACTTCTCCTTTTTCATAATGTATAATTTGGTTAAGAAAGAATTTGTCTTTCCCCCATTCGCTCCAGTAAAACAAAATCTATGTATTTTCAATTCCACTAAAGAAATTGATACAAAGGAACACATCATACACACACGCACCAAGGAGAAGTAGGCAAGTAGAATTCACCAAAGTGAATTTTTTTTTTTTTAGTGAAGATTGAAAGGGCAAGAAGAGTGTTTTAAAAATACCTTGTTTCTGTAGGCGGGCCGGCCTTGTCGTGTGTATGAACTTGAGTCTTGATCTGTTTCAGTTGTGATGATCCAGAAGTGGAGGATTATGGGAACAAATGGAGCATGAGTGCTATGCTTCGGTACCTGAAGCAAGAGGGCCGGGATACAACCGGTGAGTAGCGGTGTGGTTCTACTTGCTGTCACTTTTTCCAGTGACTTACAAGTTGTTGGGAATAGTCTCCTCCTGACTCCTCCCCGAGTTCGCTTTTCCTCATTTCTTGTTGTGAAAGGTCTAACTTTTCCCTTTACTCTAGAGTGAATTTATCCTTAAAGATTGAACTGCTAACTAGGATACTGTTAGTTTCTTACCCAGCAAACTTCCCATCATGTTAATGGGCCCCGAGTTCAAATCTTTCCAGGTGAATCACTCTCACTCCTGTTGTTGAGGTGGAGCTGGGAATGGGTGACGTGGAGTCAGCACAGAGCATGAAATCAACATGAGCGCTGCTGCTGAGTCTGGAGCAGAGTGGAGAACCATGTGCCCAAGGAGCGCAGCTCTGCCTAAAGTGAAAAGAGTGGGGAGGAAGTGTGAGAAGGGCAGTGGGGCTCCTCCGGCGTCTTGTGTCTGTCTTTGGTCATAGGAGGGCACTGGAGTATGTCTCCCCGTGCTGGCATTCCTGTAGCATCCTCTTGGAGGGTACACCCTTAGATGAGCACCCTTACTTTTGTAATTATATTGTGGTCTGGAACCCAGTCCATATGTGCTATCCATAAGACATCTGTAAGGACTTAGGTTGAGCCTCAAGTCTACCACTAATGATAACTGTGAAATGCATATTATGTCACTATAAATATTTGCAGAATTGAAGACTCTAATATTTCTTCATCCATTAAAAATGATTTTTTGTTGTGTTTTGTAGCGTTGATGGCCCATGTAGAAGACCTGATCATTAAGACCATCATCTCTGCTGAGCTCGCCATAGCTACGGCCTGTAAGACCTTTGTCCCTCATCGCAGCAGCTGCTTTGGTAAGGAGACTCAAGAAGCTGAACGTGTCTTGCAGATAGGTTCTTGGGAAGTTGGATTGGGAGACTCAGTGACTCTACAGGAGAAGGTGATGTGCAATGAGCTTGCTTTTCTATCTTTCTGAGCTTAAATGGAATATGCATATCCCAGCAAGAGGTCAGTGGTACACCTAGGTGGACGTCCCCCCAAAGGTAGCAGGACATATGGGGAGCAGGGATTGGAACTCAAGTGTGGGTGTCTGTCAGGGCAGTCAGCAAAAGTCTGCAACCAACTGTGCAAGGCTCCAGCACTAACAAGTATATTCCTTAGTTCTTTGGCAGCCAGACTGGGAACTGTTCCAGGAAGCTCTGGCTGGTACCAGTGTGTGCTTTCTCCCCCATTTTCCAAGGTCTCCTTTTTGTTTTAGTGTTCTTCCTGGTGGGCTCCTCCCCTCTCTACTTCTTTCAACTGGGTTCCTCCCCTACTCCTCTTTCTTCTCTTTTGCTTTCCACCTTCCTTCTCTTCTGCTTCGCCCCCAAGTAGCCTGACTGCACAAAGACAAATCAACAAACAGACCACAACTACTGGACCAGGAAACATGTTACCTGTGGACGCACCAGGTGCGCCTGCAGCGCTCAGCGGGCCTGTGTATGTAGGCCCTCCGCTCAGCTATGAACTTGTAAACGATCGCTGGTACAAACGTCTGTAATATGACTCTGGCTTTCAGCAGATCTTAATCTGTGATATAAAGCACAGTAGGGCCGTTGGTGGGGAGGGTGATTGTAGCTGCATGATGCAGGTTGGTAAGGCTGGAAGTGTCACGGCATGGTCAGGAAGCAGAGTGACAGGGCAGTGAGGAGCATGAGCTTCTGCACCTGATAGCTTTGGCTTGGACCCATGAGCCTCTCTGACTCCTTTTTTGACATTTCTCAGAAGCAAGTTCCTCCTGTCCTCTCAACTATAGAACGGTAGTAGTGCTGGTGTCTACCTGCTAAGGGTGCCGTGAAGATCTGTGAGGTGATGCACGGTGTGATGTCCAGTCCTTAAGACATGCCAATAAAGATGACTTTTTATTGTGTTTGTAATTAGACAGTATAGTTCTTGATCTCTAGTAGATTATCATAACAGTCTGAATTTGACGGGCACTACACAAAAGGAATTGTTGAGGTTTGAAAGTTTTAAGTAATGAATTCTTAAGTCCTAATTCTTTAAGACTGTGGTCTTAAGTACTGGTCAGACATCTTTGATCTGAAAATTCAAAGTCCCCCTCCTTAAGGGATGTTCAACCAGTAAGGTGTGTTCACACATTTCAAAATCTGAACGTTTTCCAAGTATGTAGGGTAGGAGATGCCCAGCCTGTAGTGTACTAGCAACTTGGTGTGACCTTTATGACCACTGAGCATCTGATCCCAGCTGATTTTGTGGAATTCCATTTCTGTCTTTTTTTTTTCTTTAAGATTTAAAAAATTTTATTTAAATTCTCATTGACAGAGAGAGAGAGAGAGATAAGAGAGAGAGAGAAGGAGAATCTTTTAAGATTTATTTTTATTTTTGTTGGAAAGGCGGATATACAGAGAGGAGAGACAGAGAGGAAGATCTTCTATCCGATGATTCACTCCCCAAGTGAGTGCAAAGGCCAGTCCTGCACCGGTCCAAAGCCAGGAGCCTCTTCTGGGTCTCCCACACGGGTGCAGGGTCCCAAAGCTTTGGGCCATCCTCAACTGCTTTCCTGGGCCACAGGCAGGGAGCTAGAAGGGAAGAGGGGCCGCCAGGACTAGAACTGGCGCCCATATGGGATCCCGGGCATGCAAGGCGAGGACCTTAACCACTGCACCATCACGTCGGGCCCAAGAAGGAGAATCTTCTATCTGCTGGTTCACTCCTCAAATGTAGCAATGGCTAGGGTTGGGTCAAGCTAGGGCCAAGAGACAGACACTTAATTTGAGTCTCCTACATGGGTGGCAGGGGCCCAAATCCTTGACTGTCTTCTGCTGCTTTCCCAGTCAAATTAGCAGGAAGCTGATTCCGAAGTGGTGAAGCTGGGATTAAACTAGCACTCTGATATGGGATGCTGGCATTGGTTCAACTGTGGCTTAACCTCCTGCACCACAATTCCAAGCTGTTCTGTTTGTTTGCCTTTATATCTTACATTCTAACTGAATGGTACCATAGCTCTGAGTATTCCATGCTTTTGTCTCTCAACGCCAAGTTCTGTCCATCTAGAACATTCTCTTCCTATTTGCATTGTACATTCCTATTTCTATATGGATTTCATTTGAGTCATTTCCTGTCATATTGTGATGACTTATTTACATGTGTATTTTCCACCAGTCTGTGAGCTTATCTGTTTTTACAGTGTTTATACGTTATTTTTAACTACTTGAAAAACAGAGTGATGTACACAAACACACAGAGGAAGAGAGAGATTTTCCATTTGCTTATTCATTCCCCACATGCCCAAAATAACCAGTCTGGGTCAGGCTCAAGTCAGGAGCCCAAAATTCCATCTGATCTTTTACAAAGGGTAGCAGTGAACTGCCAACTGCTGCTTCATGGGTACATTAGCAGGAGGCCACATCAGAAGCAGAGTAGTGAGGGACTAGAAGTGGGGGCACTCTTATTGGATTTTGGTGTCTCAATTCCAGGGCTCAACCAACTGAACCACAAACTGTCTTTGAATTCTTAATAGTTAATTATTATGTCTCCCTTTCCCACATTACCCTTTGTCTGCCAGACTCAATCATTTGTCATTTCCCTGACCTTGCCAGGTTCTTCCCTAACCCTGTGCTTTTGTTTCTGCTTTATCCTGGGTCTTGCCTTTGTCATGTCACTATTCCTTTGAAGATCAAGTCAAGTATCACTGTTTAGGTGACATTTTTCTTGGTCATTCCAGTCAGAGTTAGCCTTCCCTAACCCTGGTACTGTGTTCACAACCTTGGAATAGTACCTGCCTGCTCCCCTCCCTTGTATCCGTTCATGATGTACTCGCCCTTTTGGAGTGGAAGCCTCTTGAGGACAGGACGCTGACTCTGGTTTTTGCCCCTGCAGTGTGTAGTAGCATCCTCGCTGTTAGAGGCTGTTCAGGAAGCTGTAGTTGATGAGTGGTTAGCACATGATTTCCTTGCTTTCTGGTGGCCTGACAGTTGGCTTCCCAGTGAATCTGGTGACTTTGGAGCTTTAGAATGGCTGCCTACTGTTTGAGCATGGGTCAAAACCATCCTGGAAGTGAGAGTTTCTTTGCTGCATCTGCTTGCCTCTTAGATGGCAGCTCTCAGCATAAAACTTTTTCTTCTAAATAGTTAATCACAATTTTTTTATTTCCTTTTCCATTTGTTTTGTTGCATGAATGTCTTTGAAAAGGAATTGATTAAACTTCATGGCAATAGGTAGCTGTAGTATGTAAGAAACAGTGCCTTTTTCTGACCCCCTAAGAACATTTATTCTGCCACAAGGCTTCTGTTTCCCTCCCTACTTATGTTTGATTTTAATAAACTGAGAGTGCATCTGGAGTTTTTTAAGTTGTTGACTGTTTTCTTGGCTTTTGTGGTTCTGATTCTGCTTCCTGTCAGCCCTGGGATTTTGTGTGCCTCATGAGATGTGAATGCGTATACGTGAGTGCATTTGTGTGAGTCTCTCAGCCTCCCACGGATGCCTAGCCTTCCCTGGGGTTTAAGTCACAAGGAGTAAGCTTGTTTTTAAAATTTGTTTTAGAGTAAATAAGATTTGAGAGCTTCCCAGAAGCTTTTGGCTAAAACAGAGCATTAGTGCTTTTAGGGAAGACAGTAGCCTGGCGATGAGATTCACTGTGTTCTTTAGGTGGTTGTCTCTGTTATCTAGAAATCTCTGCCAGGAGTGTGACATTACTGGTTGAGTGTTGCTGCCTTAGCATTTCCCTCCAACCTAGTTCCTCATTCGTTCATTACAAAAAAATTTTTTTTTCTTCATTTATTAACTTTCTCTTAGTTCCTACTGTGTCCAGAATTGTAGTTTGGTCTTTCATCCATGCTTTTACCACCAACATCATCCAAGCCACATTTGACATGGGATGAGAAACATACATAAACTCACACGGTTTTAATCACCCTAGGGATTTTTTTAGGCTGTCTGAAACTCAGCCACCTAATCCTCTTTTCATTGATGTTGTGCCCCTTTGAGAATAATTAGTTCAGACCTACAAGTGAAGCCCTAAGCAATTAGCCTATGCCCCAGCATCCAGACTGGAAAGCGGAAGGTCTTGGCCGGACCAGGGAGACCACAGAGGGGAACTGGGCTGCAGAGATGGATGTGGGCAGCACTCTAACCATAGCACTGTAGACTTGGACAATTTTTGATGCCTTCCCCAATTAAACAGATTTTTGACAAGCTTTTTTGCTGTCCAACTCTGTGAAACGTGAAATAATATGTTCACCAACAGCCCTTTGAATGTGCTTAGGAAATTGGCACCATGAGATAACTGGCTAAGAGAAAAGCTTTTGTGACCAACTGGGGAAAAACAGCCAGAAACAGCAGGAGGTTAGCTGTCCTTTCAGACCCACAAGCTAAAGGGGTGATAATGGCCTTATTTGTGTGTGTGTGTGTGTGTGTGTGTGAGAGAGAGAGAGAGACAGAGAGAAAGAGAGAAATGAGGCTGAAATGTTGAGCCCTAACAGTCTGGGCTCTCATGGACCAGGTGTGGGCCACCTGTGACCTGACTGGCCTGGTCTGTTGTAATCAGGGAACAGTGGCATGGTTGCTCAGGACGAACCATGCCAGTACTTCTTTGCTCTGCTGCTGTCACCCTTGAGCATTTCACTGGGACAGCTGACATGGTTAAGGGGAAGGTAACCCATAAATAATTGGTGAAACAAGGAACGTGGGCAGCATGCGAAATTCCCAACGCTGCAGAGTGCTAGACTAGCAACAACAAATAACTGAAGGCAGTCTGTTTCCTTTTTGAAATCATCTCCTTTTCTGACGTGTTTCTTACTCCTGTTTAGAAGGGAAGGGAGGTTTGCCGTAGAAAGGACTTATCTGGACAAGATCT